GATGTAATTAAATGAGGAATCATCTTTTAGAGGCTATATGTTTTCTAGGGTCCTCCAGGTAAGTGGTTCCTGTCCTGACATGATTTAACTGCTAGATGTTGACCGGGAAACCTGCCTCCCCCTCCAAAAAAAAAAAAAGGGTGTTACTGAAACTTCTTGTAGATGAATCAAGTGTGGGACTGCAGGAAATACTGACTAGGATGGCTCGCAGGTACACTCTGATCTAGATTTGTTTTAGAAAATGAGGTACAGAAAATTGGTCTACATTTCAGCATGGCCACATGTGAAGTCATATCCCTAAACACAAGGACATAGGCCAGAATGACTTTGCCTCGGGGAGATCTCTAAAAAGAGGACTTGGCCATGGGCCTGGGTGGCAGAAAGCGCCTGGTGTGCCCAGTCGGTGCCGCAGCCAGAAGAGTGAATGCAGCAGTTGAGTGGGCAAAGCTGGCAGAAGGAGGTTACATGGCCTCTGCATTTGGCATCCCTATGGCTCAGATTTGAAAATGCCCCAGTTTGGACATCTCCGACTCTAGCATGATCTTGAGGAGTTGGAATCAACACCAGGAGGACCTGTGGAAATGGGAAAAATGCTGGAAAATTTGCCCTAAGAGGTGAAAATCTGGGGAGCTCACTCTGTCTTGAAAAAAGAAGAGGTTCAGGATGATTTCACCATGACCTTTATGTAACCGCAGGGTGCACAAGCTGGAAGCTGCACCGAGGCAAATTCATATCTGAAATAACATAATCTTAAAAATGTACATATATGTATTCATATGTATGTATATGGTGCTTTTTATACAAAGAGAGTAATTAGCCACTAAAACAACCTTCAAATGATTGCGCTGATTCTTTGAAACTGGCAGTTTTTAAATCAAGATCTGATGTGCATCTTCAAACAAAAATTAATTATGGGACTCCCATTCATTAAAAACAAACAAACACACACACCCGTGTGTGAACACCTTCAGCTTAACTTATTGGACTTTGGATCAGGCCCTGCCTTAATTATGGGGAATTCTGCAAAATGACCAGTGGCCAGGGTGCTTCCACCACTGTCGCCTCACTGGGATTAGGCAAACCACTGGAACTAAGAAAAGTGTTCCTTTACCCAGACATGTCATTTCACACCCTGGCAGGCAATTAAAATGCAAATTAAAAATGTTAATTAGAACTGTTTCAACATCTATTCTAATGCACAAGATGGGAATTCTGTACAGTGTATGGAGAAAGATGCATTGTTCCTTGGGCAAAACCCTCTTGTCACTCTTGCCCTGGAGTGAGCAGAAATAGCTGCTACTTTTTTGAAAATCTGATTGCAGGAATAAAAAAAAAACAAACTCGAAAATAAAGTGCCAGGGTATGATCCTGATCTCAAATGCTGGGATAAATCCACTGAAGCCAAGGGAGTCGTGGTATGTTGGTGATTTAACAAGATCAGGCACAAGCCCTGTAAAAATACTTACACTAAAAGAAGGTGTGAAAGGGTATCTACCCCACAATGAAATGTCAGTGTTATACTATTTTTACTATTCCCACCCTCTCTTTTTTTTTTAAAAAAAAGTCACTGCCAATTTACTGTGTAATGATAAAGACAGACATTAACTAACGTAAGGCTCAAAGGTGCTGGATGGCAGCCTGTGGATAACCTTGTTTCAAAGGGGGGGTCGGGAGGGAAGGAGAAGACCGTGCCATGGTACTCAGCCCCCATAGCTGAGCCTGCACAGTACCAGAACCGGGCTTTTATAACAACAATAGCTCTGTAAATGCATGCCAGCAGGTCTCCTTTCCACATTAAATATGCAGTTGCTCCACTACAGCTCATCCCAATACACCCTGATGTTTAAGACAACTTTCTTCCCTTTCCTACTTAAAATCTACCTACATCAAAGATGAAATCTGGATGCTCCCACAGCTGTGATGAGGTTGTTTTTACAGCTATTTGAGCAGCATGTTATACCTGCTTATTTGAAGATGATGATATTTGTATTGTTGCTAAGAATTCATGCCAAGCATAATTTTGGGGCGTTGTGAAGATATCATATTTGCATATTTTAAGTATTGATATAATACAGAATCTTTTTTATGACTCTTTTCACAGCATAATGCTCTTTCCATTGCATGACAGCATTTAGCATAGAAAAATTCAAAAACAGAAGAAAATTATTTTTTAGAAAATGGATTTTTTTTAAATCTGATTTTCATTTTCGTATGTTTGGAGCATCCCTTACTGCTCATGACCTGCTGCATATCATCCAGATAAAAACAGTAATTGCACAGAGATATAGGCACTTCACACAGTAATGCCTTAATCAAACAAATGACTGCATTCTAAAGAAGTTACTTTTTTTTTTTTTTTTTTTTTTTTATGAAGCACACTATTTCTAGACTTGCAGGCTTTATGCCCATTGCTGATGTAGAAGATGGCCCATATGAATCTTTTCCTTCTTCCCTTTCTGCTCTCCCCCTTTGCCTAGCCCCAACCCTCTCCCTGCCCTTCTCTACTCCTCCATCCTTTGAGGACAGAGACCCTTATTTCTGCTCTTGCAGGCTCCCCACCAAGCCCTAGGATAGAAATAGACTCTACAAACATCTTCTTCCTTCCCTCCTCTGACCGATTCAACATCTTTAATTTCCCTTCTCCTGTTTCCTCACACTTCTAGCCAACAGCTTTTTTGCCTACCATTGCCTCCAGCCCTGTTCCAAAAGGGGCCCTCCCAGAGCTGCCCCCTCCCCCAAACCAGGCCCTGCTTCTTGGCGAGAGCAGCAGGCCAGCCTCCGGGCAGGGGATTTGAAGAGGCCAAGTAGCTCAGGTGGGCTTGAGGATGTGCTAATGAGCAGCACATGTTACTGGTGAGAGTCCATATTTACAGAGGCTTCGAAGTGAGAAAAACCTAAGAGGAAAGATGAGGAAGAAAATCCAGGGACAAGCACTGCCTGGTCTTCTATGGTCTGCTTTTACATGAAATTCACTTCCTGTGTGGTGAGAAATATTTATGTTGTATTTTAATTGCCTGGAAGCCCTATGATCCTTGGGTGGTGTGAGCTTTCTTGCAGTGTAAGGTCATAATGATTGGTGCCAGCGGTGACTTGGTCCCTCTGGGCAGGCTGTGGATCTGTGGAGCGTCTCCCCATGCCGGTGGCCAATATTCTTTTGAGATATTTTCTTACGGGTAAAGGGTTTTCTGAACAATTGGAGTATGTAATTTGGCAGTGGTGGGCTGCAGATGCCTGCTCAGCAGCCCCCCTGTTAGAGGTACCACGTGTGAGCAGCTGCTTTGCTGAGGGACACAGCAATGAACAAAACTTGGACATACAGGTGGGGGAAACAAGAGGGGTCTGGTGGGCAAGTGGGCAACCTGGCAGTTACATGAGGCTCCTGTGCAGCAGGAGATTTGTTAGTGACTTCAGTTTCCTTCAGTTAGTTCTGGGGTGAAGGAAACAAAACTTACAACGTTGTTAAAACACTGATGAAGGACCCATTTTCCTTTAGCCTTAGCAAACATTTTGTCGGCAGCTCAGAAGAGGCACCTGAGCAGGCACAGGGACCGCTGGTTTTGGGGACAGAGCATCAGGGAAATGCTGGGGCTGGGTGGAGGGCCTGGCAATGCTCTTGCATGGAGCAGGTTGTTGTCCGTAGCTGAGTTAACCCCCGGAGGTCTGAGTCTGCCGTCCTCCAGGCTGTGCTGGAGAGGCTGCTGAGGGCGGGCATCTCCCCTGACCGCCGGGTGTGCTTGGCCTTCCTTCGCACCCCGCGGGATGCCTGGCAGCGTTCGTCGGGATCAGCCCAGGCAGATGCTTGACGGCCGCCTGCCACGCAGCCGAGTGCGAGGGCTGGGCTGCGGCCGCGAGCCCGTGTCCCAGCCCCCGTGTGTGCGGGGCCCATGCACCCATGGTGGGACCCTCGGGGAGGGAGGGGAGAGGCTCTGCTTGAGGGCTTTTTCTCTACTGGGCCCAAAAAAGGTGCGTCTGGAGCCAGCGATGGCTCCCTGCGGCTTGATGGCCAGCGAGGGGCAGGGACGAGGCTGTCACCTGCTGCTGCTGAGGTTTGGCGGCAGCAGATGCTGCCTCGCAGGGGCCTGTGCTGCCAAAATCCCTCTGAGGCACCGCGTGCCTCGCCTCCCGCCCAGAGCGGCGGCCTGTGCTGCCGCCCGCGGGGGCGACGGGGCAAACGTCAATCCTGCTGGAGCAGGCCTGGGATCGCTGCCCTCCACTTGGAAATGAAATTTGGGATTTGCACTGACGTCTTTATTCTCATAACCGCCTCAGCCTTGCCGCAGCGTTTACATACAGCAGCGGGAGGCCATTACCCCGGGATAATGCTCAATCCCACTGGCATTATCCGCCTCACAGTGGAACCCAGGGGATCTCTGCCAGCCCCTCCTGGCTGGGTGGCTGACCCTTGGTTAGGGGGAACGGCTGCAAAAAAAAATAAAGCCCTCTTCTATTACAAAGTTTATCCATCCAGCAGTTTGTGATTTTAATATGAAAAATTACCTCGGTTATTTCAAAATGCTGGCAGCTGAAATTCAGTTTGGGTTTTTTTGAGGTTGGATAAACAGTTGGTAAGTGCCATCCCTGCCTTTAAGAACTCACTAAAAAAACCCAGCAGGATTTGATTTGTTTGTACAGTGAAAAGATTGTTCTTTAATCCCTTCGGAGTTGTTGGATTTGATACTCCTGCCAGTCGAACTAATGAAAAATCCTCTGGCAGTATGTGTCAGGAAACTCAGACACCCGTCGTTTCTCCTGAAGATGGTGGATGTCTTGAAAATGGTGGTGCAAGGGACACAGCTCCCTGCATCCCTTGGGGAATCATGGAAGCTGCGCACTGCGCCAGAAAGCTGCACAGGGATAGAAGTCTTATTGTATTTGATATAATATTGGACCCAATTATCAAACAGGAGGTATAGGACATTATGAAAAGACAAAACACCAAGCAACACTACCCAGTAATCACTTAAGTAGTTTATTTTTTTCTCCTTGATTAGATCAGCACAGTGAAATCTACCGTTTTAAAAATAATTAATGTAATATTTGTGTTACAATCTTGGCTATTAAAAAATAGCAATTATTTCTTTAATGAATATGAATGATTGATTCAGTAGACAAACTGTATGAAATAATAACAGAAATTACATCAGGTATGTTGCACCTGACCGAGGAGGAGGAATTATCTTCCCATTAAGAAAGAGCGGTTTGAGGCTTTGCACCAGTTACAAGGGTAAAATTACACAAAAACAGGCTAATTGCTCTTAAATGGGGCTAAACGGAGTGCCCCTTGGGCTCAGCTCAGCTGCTGAAGCGCAGTTACCTGTTGCAGATGCCCTCTGAGGCCGGAGACATCCCCGTGGGGCTGGCTGGTGCTAACCCGGGACCTGTCGGGGCGGCCATCCGTGAACAGCGAACTCGGCCGTGCTCAGGCAATTGAACCAGGGCCAGCCCTTTTCAGCCCCTTGCTGACATATGAACATGTGCTCTTAAAATCTATTGTTTTCTATTAGTGGAACTAGGAATTTTTGTATTGATTTAGTATAGGAGAACAACCTTCCATAACAGTAGTTTATTTCCTCCGTTAATCAAATATCTATGCAGTGATTTCAGGGACTTGGAGATAGCCATTAGTTTTGGCAAAAGGTCTAGCAAGCATTTTTTTTATGTTATGATTTCAAATATATCCACTTCTAAATGTATTTACTTCGTAGTGGAGTACAAATTAAACTACTCTTAGAAGCTATAAGAGAAACAATACTGAACAGCCAACCTGAAACCTCCCTAATGTTTTTACTCAAAATCTTAAAAATATCTCCTGGAAAGATCCAAATGCAAAGAAACATTTTCTCAGAAAAAACATGCATTAAAGTGTTTTGCACTGTGAGTCTTTCAGACTCATCACAATGGTTCACATATTCAATAGAAATAATAAGAAAAACAAGATTATGTTTCTCTACTCTTTCCCATTCCAAGACTTCCCTTGATATATATGTGTGTGTATACATGCATAACTTGATGTCTTTTTTTGGTTTATTAATTTTTGTTGACATGTATGTTACTTGGGAGAAAGAAAGTTACCACATCAGTGCAGGTGATGAGGACAAGGCTCTTCAGTGTACTGATGGAAACTAATTCAGGAACCGGGCAGTGAAATAGTTACCTAACAATTCTTCAGAGCACATAAGTGTTTAACTCTTGATATAATACCGGGAAGCAGGCTCTCATCATATTATCCTCTAATTATCACAAGAGTTCAACAGCCAAACAATTATCTTTTCATTTCCTTGCCAAGATCATAGACTTCACAAGATATTCAAACAGAATTTTTCTAGAACCGGGAAATCTAACCAGAGGTTTTACTTGCAATTTCCTATTTATTGTGTGTGTATATATATACACACATATACAGTATCCTTAAAAAAATAAACCTCATGGCTAACACTGGGAATATTTCTCTGCAGTTAAGAAGCCAGTGCTTATTGGTAAAGTAGCTTATTTTCTAAACTGTGCTGAAGGGTGTAGAAGAACAGTTTTAACAGGGAAAGATATGATATTCACATAGCTGGCCTATTCTCAGATTTCAATGGCTGGTCCATATTAACATGTCTTTGACAATACACATATGGCACTGAGTAGAGGAAAAGATGCACCAAGAACTAGGATGTTTTTTTTGAATAATGAAAGCCGACATATTAAAAGTAATACATTTGGAAAATGACAATTGAGGAAATTCAATAGTATGTCTTGTAAACCTTTTTACTGAAGTTAAGAGTATGTCATTAATAAAATGTGTAAAATTAAAAAAAGAAATTCCTTAAATGAATTGCTTTTGGAGATGTCTTAGGAAACATTTTGACAATGCTAATTGTTGTCGTAGTCTCTTTTGATAAATGGATTATGCAAAATTAATTCTCTCACTATGTAGATTTAATCCACAACACAGGACCACTGTCAGAATGTATTTTGAGTTTTCTAATGAATAGATACAAATAGCCATACTCAATGTATTAGTTTTAAATTTTAAATTATAAATCAGTCACCATCTTTATCTACAGTTTCCTGCATTTGATCAAATCCTACTGTATGAATGCTCGGAGAAAATCATTATAGGATATTTTTGAAGACAGATCTTTATCATAATATTCCAAAATGTTGAATAACTCCTCTTCAGTTAGGTTGATGTGGTACTCGTGAAGAACCTACAAAAGACAGATACAACTTTAAAATTTATTCCAGTGCTTTGGGTGTGCAAGAAGTAAAAATATTCATTTATTTTGCTAAAATTTCATTACAAAATAACTTGATGATTCAGCTCTACACTGTCTTAGGTTTCTCAGAATAATACAAAATCAAACCTTCCTTTATTATCTCTTGCTCTTCCCATGCCAGTGCTGGTTCCCTTGGATACATATCTGAAAACCTGCATACACAGGGGTTTAGTCCACTGGCCCAACCAGCACTTGCCTGAGGGAGCATTGGGAAATGGGTAGCACCCATGTGCATAGAAGCTAATTTGCAAAAAGCACATGTTTAAAAGGCTTTTGCTATTATCTGGAGATGAGATGAAGGGGTGGAATATCTTCCTTTCCATCCTCCGTGGGTGATCTGCAGCCTTTGCATCCAGAGAAACAGAAGAAATAATCCAGTCACTCACACTGTGAACTGCTATGTATGCGATAATGACCATGATGTACTCAAGGCTTTTAATTTCCATGGTATAAATGCTCAGCCTGTAAGCGTGCCTTCCTAGAGCTTCAGTGAGAACCCACCTTGAACAGGATGCATCTGGTGCACTGGGGTGCTAAAAGCCAGCTTAGTTACCTGCATCTTCCCAATATTTCACCCAGTGCATTTTTGATCACTTCAGCAGTTTTAAATGTTCTCATTAGCTTGACATGAAAGAAAATAATGTATTAATTTCTGAGCACTACTTCTGGTTTTAGATGCACTTGGGAGCTTAAGCCCTGAAAGTGACCAGCAACACAGTGTGTCCTTGTGTGCTATGCCAGTTGTCATTAGTTTTCTGGCAAACTCTGATTAGTCTGCCCCTTTCCCTCTTAACAGCCTAGCATCAGAAATCGCTAATGACCCCTTGCAGATAGTACAGCCATAAATAGCAGTGTTACTGAAGTTTGTAGAGAGCTAATTCCCCCATTTCAGTAAATTAAGTTACCTAGGAGACAAAGGGATCTGTACCTCCACAAATCACTTGATATCTTGTCAAACAGCAGATTAACACCTTTGTAGTAGGATTTTGGAATCAGGGATTGCTTCTTGATCTAGATCCATGAAGAGGTAGTGTTCCGGTTGTGGGTTTGTTGGGATTTTTGTCTGTTTGTTTGTTTAGCTTATATCACGTTAGGAAGCTTGATTTGAAAGTTGTTGACATTGCTTTAACTATAAATGGTAATCATCAGATGTCCCAGAGGAACATGACAAATTAAAATCAAATGCAAAGGAGCCTGATCTTCGCTCATCCTCCCCTGAGCTTGGTCTGCTGAGGCAGTGCCCGAGCAGTCAGAAAGCTGCAGTGATAGACAGGGAGCCTCGGGCATGAAGCTGATATGGCTGCACTGATACATCTTGCTCCTCAGCCTTTGTAGAGGAGCAGGCAGGGACTCAGGTTTCAGCTATGTGGCAGTGCCAGAACGCATCACGTTCCCACCAGTCCTAAATGAGTAAAGATTTAAAAGAGCATTTCTGTGACTGGTATAATTGAACAGGTTTATATCTACCAGGCAACAAGCCGGCTTCCCACAGCTCCAGGGGAAGGGGAGCATCAGAAGTACACCTTATCATTTCTTATTGCAGCCAAGCATTTGCTTACTGCAGTTGAGCATCCCGTCTGCTAGTTCATCAGTTGTTTGAAGTAGCAGTGATACCAAGGGGTGGCCCAATGCACCTAGCATTAAATGGGTTCAGGATCACACTGTATTTTTTTGTTTTTTCTTGCAATTGAATAGTAAATATTCAGAATTACTCCAGAGCAGATAGTGATTATTATTCCTAGTTAAAACAATGTCAAAGATTTCAAAATCAGTAAAGTTAAGCAAAAATCAATTTCCCCATGGGTCCAGATGAAGAACTGCTGATACAATACACAGGTGTGTATTTGCTGTTTGAGGAGATGCAAGGTATCTAAGTATTTGCAGAGGATATGGATCCCTTGCCTAGTACAGAATTATGCTGCACAAAGAAGAGCAAAGAGACAAACCAGAAACAGAGGCTCTCCAACGGGGATTACTTGAGCCCATTCCACATTTAGAAGGGACCACACCAGTTGGAGGGTTGCAGGATCCTGCAGCTGTAGCAGTGCCTGTAGAGAGACCTATCAGAAGGTATGCTTCTATTCCCTTCCCACGTGTTTGTGAAAGATAGCACTTAAACTCTGTGTAGGGACTAAGGTTTTTCCTCTGTTTTATCTATTCAGGACCCCACCAAGACCTCAGACATCAAGGAAATGTAATCACATGTGGAGAAAGATTAGAAGGAGTCGTGGCCAGAGCTAAAGTCACTGAGAGGAGCCAGGATTAGTTTATATGCTCTAGTTCAGTACTGCTTTTCAGAAAATTTTCAACCAGAAGGCTTAGGTTAGACAACTGTAATTTTCCATCTATTATTTGCTAAATGCAACTTACTTGTCTGAAATCTGCAATATTCAACAGTCCAGTAAAACTTTCATCATAGGAATGAAACGTTAGTTTCATTGGTCTCCAGCAGTGCAGGATCTGGGGCTGAATTCTCAGCATTGCACTGAAGAATGACGTGGTTTGTGGTCCAGGACTCAGCTAACAAAGTTGAATGAGAGAGTCTCACATTTACTAACAGCATCACAAACACAACTGGACAGAACTATAATGCAGAATGAAAAGATGTTGGACTGTAATACTGCCACAATCTGTGACTAGCTACTGAATACTTGTTTGCAAATTATTGCAAGATACTGTTTACAAAAGACTATTTTAACCTATAACATTTTGATATTCTTGGGAAGTGCAGATGGTATATTTACTTAATCGCTGTCAAAGCCCTAACTTTTTATTATTTGAAACTGATTCTGAAGTCAGTGTTACTTCTGCTCAAGATCTTGGTGTTTTCACATGTATTATGCTTGCCTTGTTTCAACTCCCTCTTTCAGCCATTTTTAATTCTCTGCAGTGTTCATTTTTCAGAGTGAAATTTTTTGCTTAAATGTGCCTGAATGCATAAGCCAATGGTGGGAGCAGTATGGTATTTAAGAAAAAAACAAAGCCCTACTGTATGCTTTTCCTAGCACATAAAATACCTTGAAACCAGTTTTTGACTCTCTGTGGTTCCACAGCTGGGCCCTAGGGTTAATCTTCCTTGGGACATGTTGTGGCTTCTTGTTTTATCCTGGCTAAACTTATTACATTGGTGTAGCTGAACACATGCGAACTGCAGAATTATTCATTAAGGCAAAATTAATTCCACCTGTACAAAACTTTAACACCTGAGTGATGAGTAGGGGACTTTTCCCAAAGTCAGCAAGCCCCAGTCCACCTGCAGGCTCTGGATCTACCCTACTGCAATTTGGGTTGTTTTCATTGCTCAGAACCTGGATGCTTCCAAGAAGCCTTGAGCCATTGATTCTCTCAGGCTTTTGAGAAAAAGAAAGAATTGTGCCTGCCAGGAGTAGAAAAGGGGTTTATTTGAGCTTTTTGTGATTCCTTTTGATCTCTATCTTATTAGGTGAAATGGACAGAGCAATCCGTGAGGAAATTTAATTCTGAATATTTCCTTATATAAAGGTGCTTGGAACATGGACCAAGACCTTCATTATTTTTTCTGAATAGAATAAATAAAATAAAAATTGAGACAACTACATAAGGACTTAAAACAGCTTTATCCACTCCAGAATACTGGGATGGAATTTTACAGCATCAGACTTGTGTATAAAGGAAACCTTGTGTAAGATAATGAAGTTCTTAATAGTTTTACCTTACTTTCCTTACTGGTAGTGAATACTTGATAATTCCTAATGATACTCTCTTCATACCTTGGTGGCAATCTGTTCATTCCACATCTGAAAACAGTTTGGTAATGTAATTTCTCTATAAAATGCTGCTACTAACCATATCTAAACTAATTAGGCACAGTCAGAAACAGCCTAAAAATGTAGCAGGCTCGCTGAATGAGCAGATTTGGAATTTGGCACTGTTCCTACTACATAACTTGATTGGGATGCTATTACCGACGCCTTCCTTTCTGGGCCACGACAGCCAGATTTCTGTGTCTCTTCTGATCTTTTCCACCCTGGAGCGGTACTGCGGGCAGAGGGGAGCAGCCTGCATGAGGCTGTTGCAATGAAGAGGCAAGAGAGTCCCAGCGCATCTTGGGGAGCTGGTATGTGTGGCAGGGAGGCTGCAAGGGCGCAACAAGGGCTGACCAGTCCTGGCTACGAGATGTTTTTAGTGACCATTAACAGCAGCGCAAGTGAGAGCTTCCTCTGAGCTTTTCTTACCGTGCTGGGTGTGGAGCAGAGGCACAGCTGGCTGACAAGTCAGGGCTGTCCTGAGACACGTCCCATGCACTTTTTATTTCTAGTTTGATTTTTATTTAGTTCAAAAAAAGCTCTTAAACTGTCATCTCCTGTATTTTCTACTTGGAATTATTATCCAAATTTTTGCAAATTTGGCCAATTTACCATATAACCTGGATATACAGAGCATGATCCCAAGGAGTTAAATCTTCCAACTGAAGGAGGTACCAAATGAGTACTAGGTAATTAGTATCATGGGATTAAATATGAGAAAGCAAAGTCACTGCATAAAGTGACTATAGAAACAGGCCATGAAATATCTTGTCAGAACAGCAGAAACTGGAAAAAAAAAAATGCCATTTTGATTTTTATGAGCTTTGTACCTACTGGCTTTGGTGGCTTCTGTATAATCACCCTCTGTAGCAGTGAGCTTTCCTGTGGTTTTAACAACAATATACAACTCTGAAGGAAGTCATAGTATGCAAATTTTCCATTTTTCTTGAAAACATATTTTGTTTTTATTTGGTTAATTTCCCCTTCACTTAAATCCAAATTGAACTTCTCTGCTATATCTGAAATGCAGAGAGTATTCATTAGGTCATTCTTAAAAATAGCCACTTGTGTGTTCACAAGTTTTACCAGGGATATGCTGACAAGTCATCAGTTGCAGTGACTGCTGCATAAGTGTGTTATGCAGATCTTGCTATATACGTATCTTGCAGGTATATGCATATGCCTATACTTATGGGGTGGTAGTTCACATATTACAGGGTCTCAGGGGACTGGTAACATGCCATTTTCATTGTAGATGCACAAGTCGTACTCCGTGACATTAGCTAAGAGATTTTATAAGCTAACATGTTCTTATAGCCAGGACTTTACATTTGATTATACAGGTGTGCACTGTCTTATCACTCACACAAATGTTCAAACAGAGGCAGAGAAAATCCCCTCTCCAGAAGAGAACACAACAGAAGAGCTGTGTAGCCCAGCTCTTCTAAGAGTAAAATCCAGGGTCCTTTCAAATCAGGCTGTGTTCAGCCATTGAGACCAGTGCAAACAGAAGCACACACAGGCTCACAAGGAAAAAACTGGTGAATTTATTTACTAAAATATCCACAGGCACAGAAAGGGTAGTGTATTGGGAAGGGGATGAGAAACTTGTACACGTGCCCAAGTACCCACAAGCAAAGCCATGTACTCCTTTTTTCAAGGAGAAGATAATTCTGAATGGGAATGTGAATGCGTTGCACCCAAGGCTATTCAGCTCTGTGACAGCAGGGTGGTACCTGGAGCAATCATGCAGTGGACGCCACTTACTAGTGGCCAAATGTTCCTGTGGCTGGGACACCAGAAAGAAAACCGAAGGCATCTGAGAATGAATAAAGCACTTTTCAGATGGTAACAAACCTAGGAAGTCTGACACTGGGATTTTTCCTAGCTTGCTGACATCCTTCTCTTTGCACACTTTCAGTATGTCTCTCCAGGAATGTTGGATGTTCTTTCTTATCTTATTTTCTATTGTTTCACAGTTAAGGACAGGTGTAGAACAAGTTGTTGTTGTCAAAGGACGACTGGATGCTGGTGTCTAAAAGCAAGAGATAATGATGTCTTTTTTTTTTCTATTGAGTTTTACTGCTTGTGTAGACAAAACACCAGATTACATATCCAGTTTCTGGTCTTCCAGACTTGAGATTAACGTACCATTTGAGCCGCTTCTAAGTTTGATTTGAATTTGGTCTGCAAAACCGTAGGTAAAAATGTGAGAACACTCTTAGTGTCAAAACGACACTATTCATTTAATTTGCCTTGACCATTTTTTCTTAATTTGGCTTAATCTGTAAATCATTTATAGTTTCTCCAAACTGTTTCTTATTAAACAACAGATATCACATTCAAAAAAAAGCTATGCAGTACCATTTTAGACCAAACACAAACCAGTGTAAAGCCACTGAATCATGAAATAATATTGCTTCGATTTGTTACTGGGAGGGCTCAGTTCTGCAGTGGTCCTATGCAGAGCCACAGAAGGAGTGATGTGAGAGGATCCTGGTGCTCAGTATCCTTTTGATTGCTGCCTCAGCTGCACTGTGGGTGAGCTGGAAGGAAAGCTGAAGCCTACCCCCTGCATGATCTATGCCCAAGTGGTATTTGTGCTTCCAGATCCAATGTATAATCTCATATTTAGTGAGACTTTCCAGTATTCCCTTGAGGGTCTTATTGGTGCAGACTTGCTGAGGCCTCACACACTTTTCCATACAATGAATGCTGCAGGAACGTTCATCCCACTCAGTGTTCAGGCAGGCTGGGGTCTTTCCAACAGCCATAAGTTTGGGGAGACTTCAGTTCCCTTCCTGTTTTATACTGCCCAATCTAGCATTCACAGACAGTAACAAGGAATTTTCTGTTGCTTTCTCTGGGAACTGGATCAAAGCATGAAGGATGCATGTAGCTAATTGTCTGGGCTTTTCAAGGAAGAACCTATAGTTAATGCAATAATTGAGCTAGGAATGGGCCAGTGTTTAGATTTACCAGCCCTGACAAGTTGTTTGCATCTTTAATTTGCTCAATCTGTTATTTCTTTTTCAGTAGCTAAACATCTCCATGTAGAAATATTCAGAAAATCCAAGCATGTTCCAGGCATTGAATAATTCTAAATATTTTATTTTTCTGTTGTAGGTTTGGTTGTAGCTAAAGAATGTGGAATAGGTAGATGAAGCTCCACAAGGGTGGTTTTTCTGCCTGTAATGATTTCTCCACCTTTCTGTGAATTCTAGCACTGGGGTAAGAGGCCAGCATGGCAGTGGAGAAGATCAAAGTGCATTATCAAGATGAACTATAGGTATGGATGCAAAAAGAAGCAAAACTACTGCATTCCTAAACCACTTCTCTTGCATCTGTCAGATCACTGGCCTGCATGGCAAGTTAGACTATCAGGCTTTAACATCTGCAATTTGGCATCCACCAGAAAGCAGGCAAGACCACCAAAATGTTTTAGGACAGACCAGTAAACATCTATTCAAAAATTGCAACTGCCAACCCTGCCTAGCTGTGTCAGATGACCACAGATAAACCATCTATATTTTTTTGTGCTGCTTTTGCAGCTATTGGGCCTTTGTAATTTGGGCTGTTTTCTTTGTTCTTAGATATCTGATTGTGCTTAAACACGGAATTTTTATTTGCTGTACAGCTCTGATGGATATATGTATGGTAACAGCAGGGAATGCTAATGGTATAAATCAACATATATCCTTTGACTTTAGTGGAGTTACTATCTGGCCCAATTTTTCTCATTGTAACACAGTTTTGAAAATTACCTCATTTGCTTATTGGCAGGTGTTTGTGCCTGATTTCATGCACAATCAATAGGAATACCTTCACTGAGTTCCACAGGTGTTATTTTCAGCCTATGCAAAGAAATGAAAATCCAGACAATTCGTAGAACAACCACACTTACACTCTTTTGCCCCACTAGAGAAGATGATGTCTTGGGACGTTCAGGCTGAGAAGACGCGCGCAGGTCCTGCCCATCATGGGCAGCTGGTTTGGCAGAAGTTGCAGAACTAGTCGCACTGCCAATGCTTGATGGCATCGTCACAAGTTCTGAGCTGAACTTCTCCAAAAGGTTCTGATACTTCAGCCGTCCACCAGTGCTGACATCCACCGTGTTCCAAAGGCATTCAAACTAATGAAGAAGCAAAAGATGACTTTTGTAAATGCTAGTTTGACAATAGCAGAATGCCCTTATGTGCTAAGGATATGACAAAACCTATCAAAAAGAAAGGGAGAGGATGCCTTGGAATAGAAGGAATCCTAGGGACCATCTTATTTAAAAAAAAAAAAAAACAAAAAACAACAAACCACAGCTTCTCTGCAGAAGCCTGCACAAGGCTGGGAAAACAATGGAAAAAGGATTTCTGCAGGACATTTTTTAATTGAATTGGGCCCTCAGTGTGCTGTTTAAACTACTAAACCCTGTGATTAGACACAGTGATGGAGCTGCAGTATAGGAGAATAATGCTTTAACATGAGATGTAAATCAAATACATGGTGCACCTGTATCCTGGCTAAGTACCATTGAGGCAAATTTCTCATGCTATCAGGTGCACCTAAGTTATACCACCATCTCAGGAGGCCATTACGGTTTCTCAGTTATTGTATTTGCATCAACAAATTATTTCACCCTGAGGACAAAAAAAGAGTCAGCATGAAAGAACATAGCAGGAAATCTTTACAGCCTTTAGAATCACATATAGTTACGATGTATGGCCGGGAACCGTGCCTCTACAGCACAGCCAGCCTACAGAAGGCCTGGGGGCAGCTGCTGATGCCCTTGTTCCTGCTGTCCACGGAGGTCCATGTGGCCGCTTGGCCCAACACAGAGCAGGGAGCCCACCCTCTGGGCTATGTACGGAATCGTAAGGATGAGGCTGGGCTGATTTCCCACTGAACAGCACTTTATTCAGTAAGTAGCTGCGCTGAATTAAATGGAACTACTCATGATGTAAGCTACTAATCAAAGCAAGGATTATCACAGCCTGCCCTTAAATGAGCTGCATTCATTTTGCGTTTCAAGAGTCATCAGTATGCCATTTTAGGGTCTTCATTATTGATTTTTAATATAAATCTAATTGGGAACCTCAGATTGCTTTTGATTTGATCTTTTTCGGCAGAGACTTAAACCCTAAAGGAAACTAGTCACCTCTTTGATGCATGTGCCAAGTTGCAGTCAAACTTCAAAGGGCAAAGGATACATTTTGAATTTCCTTTCAACTTTCCCCCATTGGCCTGGCTGCTACCACATTATGAATTATAAACAATTCTATTTTGCGCCTGTGATTATACTTCACACTTCATAGGAGGATCTCAAAGTGTATTACAAACTTCAATTAAATAGAACAATACTTTGATGAGCTGGGCTAGCTATAGTTAGAAACTATTTCAACACCCAACAAAGTTTAGCCATTTAGGGTGTTGCAGATAGTTCAAGCAAGTCAAGGGAGTTCAAGCAAGGAGGAGAAAAGTGCCTGTGCTAAAAAGAGGGATGTCAGTTGGCAAGGTATTAATCAACACCTTGCTTGCAGCGTGTTTACCATCCTTAGCCTTTTGTGAAAAAGGTCACAGTGTCAGCAGTTCCAAAGACCAAGCAGCCAAATTTCAGGAAGAAATTCTTCATCCGCTACTCGATACATACTCCAGCTGAACACTGCTAATAGCAAACAGTAAGTGGCCATCATCCAGAAAAGGATAAAAGAAGACATTTTCTGTGAAGTCATCCAAACTATGACTATTAGTAACACTTCTGTAACAACTCTGAGCAGCGACAACATCCAGAACGGCAGGGGTTTGGATTAGCAGTGGCAAAACCTGTACCCAGATTGGAATGCTCTCCTGGGGCTTCTTCATATAGATACACGTAGGCATATCTTTGAGAGGCCTGTCAAAATCGAACTATCTCTGGAGATACAGGGCTTGAGTCTCACTCACACAGAGGCTGCTGCTTATATAAATGATGCTCCTCAGGCCTGCTTCTCGTTGCTATTATGGATGACAGTTTCTATCAAGATTTTTTTTTTCCTCACTTGTCTGAGGTTCTTTTAAGTATAAAATAGCTCCTGTGTCCCTTCGCTGATTCTTGAGTGTAAAGTAGACAGGATCTAGTCTAGAGGACTCTTCAGTTAGAGGTGCCTGCCTTACTGCTTCCAAAAACAAAAAGAAACCCAAGAGATTCTTCACAGCTCAGGAAGATGTGCATGCTCCTGCCCTGGCCAGGGCTCAGCCATGAGATCACCCTGGTGCTTCTGCTCAGTGGTTCACAGGGATGAGGAAAAACTATCACATTTTCACTTCTGCCTTCACCTGGTGTTGAGATCTGAAACTTGCACTTGGTACCTCACCAGAAGTGTGGCTGCTACGAATAGCTCACACAGGTCATTCTGATTTTTTCTTCTGTTTTCAAGAGGGAAGTGGAAAATATTTTTATTTTTTTCAGTGCTTTCATCTTCAACTTTACAGATGTGTAGCTGTGCCTGATAACATGGCAGGCTGTGCAATCTCTTTGCTGTAATTACAAGCAGGCCCTGCTCCTGTCTGCAATTTATAGTCAAAAATGCTGGGCCAAGAACTCAAGGGGTATATCTGCAATGAGCAAAGTACTGAAAGAATTGTCTGTGGTGCAGACATGCGTATGAGTTTGGAGGCTCTGTGTCTTGTCTTTCGGTCTGCTGCCAAATGGTATTGATGCAGTCGTGAGCATGAAGGTTAGAGTGCTGTTAAGTAAAATCTGAAATCTTTTAGTCAAGGTTTTCTCTGTTTTACTATTCGCCTAGTCTTTGGACTAGGAAAAATCACATTGAACCAGCATTAGCAAAGATAAAAAATGGCTCTTCTCATTTTAAGCTCAGCAGAAGCAGAATCTTATGAAAGACTGGCCCCTCAGGTTCCCCTGAGATTAGCACTGGGCTAATCAGATGGTTTGTACTGCCAGATTCATGACATGACTTCAGTCACTCAAGCTAAATTCAAGGTTACATAAACTCTGCTAACACTAATCTGGTGGAATCTTTAACCCAGAAAAGGAGCTGAGAGGTGGCCAGGAAATGTCAAATGCTTGCCCCTTTCTTTGTCCAAAGAGGGTAGGACAAAATAGCTACTGAGAAAAAGGAATTTGCATTAGCTCCCCATGGAAATACTTTTTATTCCATGCTGAGAAGGCATTTTCCCCCATCAACTGGAAGCAGATTAATTTAAAACTGAAAAAAGAAACTTTTAAAATAGCAAATGTACAGATAAAGAGCTAGTGAAAGAGAACTACTGTGCTTTAAATTCACACCTTCGCTATTAGCAATAGCATCTCCGTGACTTTGCTTTAGAAAGCCTGAGATTATTATAGTTCATAATCATGCTCAGAGATAAGGAAAAAAATAATCTCCCACAAATGTAGCAACAAATGTTCATGGAATGATAGTCTTAAAACATTTTCATTTCATCCAAATTTTTAAACTACTTGACTATACACAGCAGTATGCAAACACATGTCTCTAGCCATAGCCAATTTACCCAGTTGTACACTTAAATTAACAAGACAAAATAATATAGTTTTCTTACTTGTTCTTCAGTCAGCTGCTGAAAATTTTGTTTACATATATCCCAGAACTCCTCTTTTGATACTGTATTATCTTTTGAAGAGTAAATATCTTTAAAGTCTTGTGCAATTGTGTTAAAGCCAACAGTCACTACTTGTATCTGCAAGAGGATGCCTCTCTCTAGCAGCTCCCAAGCAGATTTAGGCAGAATGACTTTTTGCCCTTCCTCAGTCTAGACAAAAAACATACACAGTGAATCAGTAATGGATCCACTGAATAAATTATAAATCGCAGTGTGGCATTCAGCCAGTCGAAGAGAGAGACGTCCGTGGAGAAGGCGGCCTTCGAGATCCCACAGGCAGTAAAACCTGCTTCCAGGAATTCTGGCTTGCACCACAAAAGAGAAAAGGGGCTATGCAAGTAGTTAAGGGTAAAAAAAAAGACTCTCTATAAACGTGATACAACTGGTGACAGGCCAACAAAAGCACAGGATTCCAAGACTGACCTAAACTTTTACAAAGGTCTAAAAAAATCGGGTGATCTTACAAAGAGGGCTGTTCTGTTAATGCAGAAAAAAGGGAAGTGAGTGCTAACTAGCCCAAATATCCCAAACGTATTCTTCTCATCTGAATAGTCTTTAGCAAGCAGTGGAAATCTCTTTGATTGAAAAGGCACTTCAATCCTGAGATGAAAGAGAGGGCAATTATGACCCGACCCTTTCTAAATTCCAGGTATATTTATGGCGGTACTTTTTAATCTGGCCATCCACAGTAGGGATACTGCAGCTAAACGATGAAGTTGAAGGCTGCAAAGGTACAGAATGTGTGAGGGGAAAGCAGGGAAGAGGATGGGTATAAGTGTGTTAATGGTAGCCCAAGATGTGCACAAACCCCCTCTTTTCGGTGTGTTGCTTTCAAAACAAACACCAGTGTGCGGATTTTAAAATCTACTGCTGGAGTTTATTACTGACTAAACTCCCTTTATGCATTCTGCAGGGTGGAAATCCACACTTTGGGTAAATACAGTAGAAGGTCACACAGCAAGCAGAAATAAAAAGGACAAAATACAGTTAGTTGGAAGAAACTGCAGCGTAACGCACTGCTAGGCTTTGGTATGGACATACCTGAGAATGCCAGAAGTCGAACTGTGGATGCAAAAGGCTACATGTCATGAAGTTAAATGTCAATGAAATCTACTCAACATTTACATTCTACCTCCAGAATTAGCAGTAAACTTCTGTTTTTAAAATGAAACCAGATTTTACTTATAAAACTAGTCTCAGGCACAATGTGGAATAATAATAAATTTTAAAAAAAGCAGTATCGAAATTTTGAAGAAGAAACTACTTATTTTCAGGAATGGAAGCTGAATTTCCACCCACTGCACTATCTAAACTAAATATGTAAAATATCTTGAAAGCAAAGTTTTCACAAACACAAGTGGCAGCCAGTTTTACTATAGCTGCAGTAAGAGGTCCTGGTAAAAAAAAAATAAAAAAAATCTGGTTTTGGTTCAAAGACATTTCTTTACAGCATGTTAAATGTTACTATCATATTTTATACCCCCATGTTTAAGCACATAAGCTTTGCCACCTTCTTGCTCCATGCAATATGAAATACCAAAAAAGAAACAGATGGCTTTTGGTCCTGCGCTCCTGTTTCCTTGTCACGTCTCACATGATCATTATAACTGGATGGAAAAGAAAATATGTTTCTTACAGAACTGCAAGAAACCTGCCTCCTAATGAGAAAAGACTTCACTATCTTCAGATGTAAATAACACTTTTCAATATTAACCATGCTTTACATAAAACATACGTGTGGGACGGGCATTACAGCTGCATTAAGAGAAGAAAAATGAGGAGTGGAGTTGTGAATGCAGATGCAGAAGCCGGACTGTGCCGTAGTCAGGAATTAAAGATTGCTGGGCACGGTCCGGTGCAGGGTGCACCTTCTGCCTGCCGGCCATTACTGGAACTAGAAAGCACTGTATTGATGCTTCTAATTATTCTAATGAAGCCAAAGACTTAGGGAAAGTGTTACTGCCCTGCAACCTTTTAAAGAAACATATTTTGTAAGTGCAAGCTTTCTTAATTTGTTTAATTTCAAGAGCTTTTTTGTTTATTTCAGAAGACCTAATGCACTTTGATCTTAAAATGGTTAGAGAGCCAATAAAAAAAAAATTACTTGTTCTTGAAAACTAGAGAACCTTTTTTATTCAGTTATTGCATTACATTTGTCTACCACATGCAGTTAGTACATTCACTGTGTATCTATGACTCTATCATCCACAGCTAAACTAATCATCTTGGGCTGAAATAATGGAGCGGAAGCCTAAAATCTCAGACTCTGGACTGGACATCTGGACATTTAAGTGCCATTTCTGCATTTGAAACTAACCTTATACACAGCGTGGGTACGTTTCTTAGCTTTGCTGTGTCTCACTTTAACCTTGAAAGGGAGCAACAGGAATGAAGCTGCCACAGATCTGTGCAGTGTATTCCCTAGCAGTACTTACAGATCACTTCTAGAAGAGTTTCCATTGGATAGAAAAGGAGTTACTTCTCTTTTATCGATTTCCTATTATTTGCTGCCATGTGCTCCGCTTGTCCCATCAAGCTCTGTATGCACGTCACTTCAGAACCGAGGGGTCAGGACTCTGCATCCTGCTCCTGCTCCACAGCTTCTCAGGCTACTGCATGGCCTCTGAGCAGTACTTGCCCCACACCATGTCCCACACCGTGGCCAAATGCAAGTTGCTACCGTATGCTGTTAGGTCCAGATTACCTGAATTTCCTGCTCAGCCCTTCACAGGCTTCCTTGCCCTTCCTAACAGAATTTGAGGGCATCTTGGGAGGACCATGTAAATCCACTTTCACCTCCTGCTTTCACAAAGGCGGGGTGGGTATTATTATGAGGCTTTTCTTATGGGCCACACTATGTAGCTCACTTGCTGTTCGAAGCAGGGCTGTATTTTTCTTCTTTAGAAAGTTCCTTGCACAGCCTCATGTCCTTTTCTATAAATGGCATAACTATGCTGATTAGTAATAAAAGAAGGCTCTGCCACCCACACCTGCTCAGTGAAGCTCCATTCCTGCAGCTCCTTCCTGTTTCTGGAAGATTTTTCTATTAAGAGGAATTCTTAATTAGAAGTAAATCGGTACATAAAGACAAATTACAATTTCTCTAGTCCTGCTCCCTGCCCTGTCACAAGTCTGACCTCCCTCCCTTTCTGGGGAAGCTCAGAAAGCAAAGGTCTTGGGAAACAGCTTACACAAGAAGGCCCTTGTATCTTCCCCTGGAAAAGGATGCATTTTCCTCTTTGTACGTGAGAATGACATTTGCCAGAAGTAATCATCCTTTTGACAATTTACACAGTTTTAGAGGCTTCTGTGCCTAGCCTATGGGCCCTCCTTTATCTTGACAACACGTAACTTCAAGTTGTTTTCCATAAATGTTCTTCCCTAAAGATGTGTGGAAGAAGAGTTACATGCCTGAGTGTGGACTGGGGTGGAAATGCATTTTCTTCTCATGTTTGGATAACCAGTAATTCACCAGCCAGCCTGTTCTAGCTTTCAGAGTCTTAGCACTATACAGAAGCTTGTATATCCTTGGGTTACAAGCAGAGCTCTATCCTCATCTGGCAGTGATCAGTCTAGCTCCATTAACCTGAGTGCTGATTTACGCCAGCTGAGGATTTGATAGCTGGTGTGCAACAGGAGCTTTCAATAATAAACCCAATTATAAATAAAAGATGAAAACTCCATTGAGGGTCATTCTGTAATCTATTATTTTCGTTTTGACCAACTGTTTGCAGCAGAGATATTCAAGTTTTGAGGTCACATTTCCAGGATAAAATACTCCTCGTAGTGTTTAGAATATGTAATGGTATACTACGGTTTGACAAAATTATTTGACATGATGAGTTAAAGGTGGCCCACATGCCAATCTATGCCTTGTCTAGAAAAAAGCCACATTCCTCTAAATGTAATTGAAATAACTATTGTATTAAATAACTATGAAATATTCAGCCTAGGTGGAACTGGGTAAAGAAACAGGAGCCACATTGAGGCTTCCCTGTTCCTCTGTCTCCCCAGCAGTGTCTAGCCCATCAGCAGTATGCCTGATGGTCTAACACTATGTTCCCTACTTTCCATTATCCCTTCTTTCTCCTTTTCCTCTACTCTTAGTAAATATAGAGTGAAAGGCTTCCGTCTCAAAGATCAATTCACCATTTTAAAATTCCATTAGACCTTTTCCTTCATTACTCAGAATAGAGAAGGAAAGGGAGGTATGGCTTTGGCAGGCTTGTCAACGGGGAAAGATCCCAAAACAGGTATCTCAGCACAGTGAGGGACAGCACACTGTAGTCATGGGGAGGGCACTGCACAGGGGAGCAGGGGCAAAGAAGGGAAATTTTCAAACTAGTTTTGCTATGGATAGAGAGAAACATGGAGTTCGATCAAGGCATAATGAAAGCTGTAACATTTCTCAGCCTGCCATCAACAGGCCTGCTAATCTCTGCTGCTGGTGGGATGGGTCATGACTGATGACAGTCGGTTGTCTGATCAAATCAGTGACCCAGAACAGGAGGGCCCAGAAGTTCAACAGATGAGGACAGTGAGGAATGAATAAACCTGTAAAACTCCCATCCCCAACACAGGGAAATGCACCACCTCTGTAGAGCAGGTCTTGCAATTTCACAGGTAGATCATAGCAGCCAAATGGACTTCAGCTCCTCACGCACAGTGCACAGGGGCTGGGTTAGTAACACTGCTGAATTTAGGAAGCAAGGTTGTGGAAAGACTGAGGATGTCACTTCTCTGTTGCGTGGGTTTTTTGAGCTCTGAAACTATGCAGTTACGACAGATACACTGTAGTTACACTGTGCATTTCATCACTTGCAGGCAAATCAGTGTTTGGGAAGTCTCAGCACAGCCACTCCATTTGTGGAGCTGGTAAACTGTGTTGTCCCCTCTGTTGATTTAAGAATATTTTCCAAGATCATGAGGAAACTGTTGTTTGTATTTTACAGGAAGGGGATGTAGCAGCTGCTACTGAGAGCAATGTGATGTGACAGCAAGTGGTTTTAACTCTGTAGACTCTCCACCAGCAACATGCCCAACAGAAACGGAGACAGTGACAATGTACGCATGCTTTTCACTAGCGAATATCAGAAACTAGTCCTGGACCTCAGTCCTGGGACCTAGAGGTACAGTTCTGACAGTGCCAGGCTTCAAGAAGAGATAAGAACCTGCTATAGTGGGGGGAATCCTCTCATGTGTACTGGTCCAAGGAGAAGCAGGATGCTGTCTGGCAGGAAGAGCATGAAGGATGAAGAAACAAGCCTGCAGTTTTGCAGGCAGGTTGATTAGATGGAACTGGCTGAAAACAAAATGCACTCAGCTGGTGAAGAAGGCACTCTGCAGCGTGAGACAGACTGCAGAGAAACTCAGAACAGGAAGCTAAACACAGAATTGGAGAATTTACTGTGGAAACAGAAAGTTCAGGATGAAGCTAAATCAAATGCTTGATTTGATATTGAAACGTTCTGCAAGTTTTTCTGTGAAGAAACCTTGGAATTTAATCTGATTGCCAAATTTCATGATTTAAATGAAATCACATTTTTTTAGAAAAAGCTTTGCTGAATATGTTTCTACTCATTCCAGCAATTCTCTTTGTCAGCTGAAAGACACATGTGTCAGCAAACCACTAGTTAGCTCAGTTCCTGCCCTTGAACAGGCACAAGTGGTAATCTGTCGCTTCTCTTTGTCATCTCCTCAACCTGTCCTGCCCTCTTTCTCCTCACTGCTGGGCTTCACAGGTGAAGGTTTACTAAGCTTGCAGCAACTCATTTGGAGATCTCAGCTTCAGGAAGGCTAAACAACAAATTGTTTGGCCCTAATCATAATCCCTCCTTTCTCCATATATTCCCCTCTATAGGTAGCTGGGCTGATCGTGTACGAACACCTTGCTGTTCTAGACCTGACCAGCATGCCCTGAACTGTCACTTTTAAGACATTCTTTACTTTTTCCCCTTCCACATCTGAAATAGCTCACTGTGGGGAAGGACATGTGAGTACATTTTCTTTTGGGGGAGTCTGATTTCCAGCTGCAGCTTTCATTCGGCCAGACTGCATTAGCTACTTATTTTAATGCAGAAAAGCTCCTCTCAGACCCTATTAATCACAAGACTGGCAGGCCAGACAAGAAAAGTTCATGATGCATATTCCCAGCTCCAAGGTCTGCGCTTTTACAGATATCCTCGCAGACTACTGGTGGTTAATAGCATCTCACCTAAGACAATGTCCTCTCTGTCTCTTTCCTCAGCTATTCTGAAGTTGTTTAGCACCATCCAAGTGCCATAACCACAGTTCTTTTGTATCTGAATATTAAGCTGCAATCATACTGCTTAAAATACTTTACATTTTTTCAATTCAATTTTTGTATATTATAGCCCTACAGCTCTACAGATCTGTATTTCAGTGGGCATCCTGCTCATATACAGAAGCTGTAGTGTGTGTTCTAGAGAGTTAATCGGAAAGTAAAGCTCATCAACATATGTCAAAGCCATCAAAAGGTCCACGTGATGCATAAAACATTTAGAAATAAAGAATTTTTTCATCTTCACTTATCCAGCTGTTTTCTAAGACAAAATACAACTTAAACCTGTATGGCTTTTGGGTTTGTGAATGCTTGCCTTTGTGGTTGTGGGTTTTATTTATGAGGTGTCATTTGAGACAAAAGTCATCCCAGGCTCATATTTTACTAGTTCAGTAAATTTTCCATACTTTAATGATCAAGCTGCATACTTTACTTGTTACTTTTTAATATACTTCAGTGATCAAATTGTATAGCGTAATGATCAGTTTTCCTAACGTGCCTGAATGAGTTGCATACCTCATTAATTTAGATACATACTTTACAGGCCAAAATTGTAGCATGTTTGGATGAAGTGAATAATTTAACATCCAGCCTTTTCTCAGAACCTGCACAGGAGCCCAGGAATATGTGTGAACCCAGGGTGGGATGAAATTGCAAAGGCGTGGGAAATTTTGGGTTGAACCCAAAATGAAAACATGAGAATTGAGAGCATCTGGAAGCTGAACCAGCACTGTGAGCCCGGTTCATATTTGTTTTGTCTTTTCAAAAATGTTCCCCTGTGGATTAATTTGGGGTTTTAATGATGGATTTATCCCTTCTACCCCTAACACAGCACAGAAACCTGTTCAAGGTGAATGCTCAACATTGAAAAAAGCAGCACAGGCTCCAGGCCTGTCACAGACCGAGTACCTCCCGAAAGATATGGAGGTAGCTTATTTTTATACTAAGTTGAGTTGGAAAATATTGGGGGTCTTGGAGGACTAACTGTTAAGGAGACTTCATGTTAAAAAGCATAATCTTGCAGGGTTTAGCCCAGGAATTGTGCAGCTTGTCAAATTGTTAAGGAGGCTTAGCACCTACTTGGAGGATGAGAAGACATTACAGCAAACCCTTTCCTAACAAAAGCAGTTACCTATTCTAAAGTTAACATGAAAGCTTGCTGGTGGGTTAATATTGCACCATACAAATACATTCTTAAAATAATTATACAGATATGTTATATTTCATACAATTGGTCTTTGTGCTGATATGACTCAGTTGAAACTTACTGAATTTATATGTGCAGAGAAGTAGGAAAGAGGGAAATGCGGAATTTTCTAACCTATACAAAGTATTCCACTGTTTTACACTTGAGAACCATGTAAGCTATTGTATCTGTTAAAACTGCATTTTAATTTTAATAAGCTGAAAATATAAATATTTTAAAATCCCCAACTTTTTTTTAAATAACTATAATTAAATGTAGTCCTGCCACTAAGGACAAAGTAACAGTTGCACTACTATAAATATTAATGCTAAATTTACAGAGAATAAAATAAATTTAAGCAACCTTATAAAATTTTGAATAAAGCTACACTTACAATAAACACTTTGGTAAAGCTATGCCTATTGGTAACTGACACGCATAGATAAAGTCTCTAACCTGCTGCAAAGCCTAGAACACATTACAAACCTTTGGAGCTGTTTATGGGTCCTCTTTCACTCAAAACCTGTGGTTTCTCCTCCTCCTCCTCTCATGAATCGCTCAAGCCCTGAAATTATCTGAAGCCTGACAGACTTTGACTCAGGATGTGAAGAGGCTGAGACAGATCTCACTGGTCTTCCAGCTTCTACTTTATGACACAAGATTTCATCACTGTACAGCTCTATATGGATTTGTTTAGCACAACATTCTATTATCACCATGGCAATAAAGTGGTAGGCTTTTTATATGGTTTTCCATTGGGTGATGATTATTATTTTTCTCATTTTATTTGTGCTTCGAGCATATACTTTTGAAAATGAACATAGTTACTTCTTAGAACATGAGGCAAGTTAATACTTATTTTTTTAATCTTTTTTTTTTTTTTTTTTTTTTTTTTAGAACTGCTCTTTATGCAGTTAGTAACCAGCTTTCACATCCTTAGCCAAGTTCAGAAATGAGCTGTAAGGTAATGTCATTTGGACTCCTGCACCCTCAGATCTACTTACACCCACTTCCCACTGGGTAAGGCAGAAGGGAGAAGCCAGAGGAAGGGAAGGACTGTGAAATTAAAACAGGGCGGAGACGTCTTTTATTTACACCTTTTGGTAATGTTCCTGTTATTTACAAACACGGGGAGGATTGCTGGACTGATAAAATGTGATTATCAACTGAAGGATCTGATCCTGTAATCTGCACAAAGTGAGCGACTCCAAGTGAAGCACTGTGGACACAAACATCTGTCACAGAGAAACAGCAACTCTAATTTAATTTGAGTTGTTGCAACGTGCATATTCAGAGCATCAGAAGACTCTGTCCAAGACTGCAGTCAAGATTTTCTCTGTACTTGACTGATCTCTGTATCTGACCTTCCTGCTACATCTACACTGCTATTATTGTTTGGTGCCAAGAACCTGGTGGGCTTCCCACTCCACTCATTTTTTCTGCCCAACCCTTGCTAGTCCATCTAGACAGTCCAGGGACCACTGGACATATTTGGATATCCCATGTCCTACATGGCCCACTTGGGGCAATCTGGCTGCATCCATGGTCATGCTTTCAGCTTGCTACATGTACAGACCTAAATCTACATGAGTGTAAGACTTAAGTTAGAGCAGTTTGTAAGGCAGTAAGGGCTTCACAGGCTTCAAGAGAAATCAACAGAAATATATGTGAATTTTGCATGCTTAGTTAGTCACTTCTAACACATCAGATGGTGTCTTTTAAATAAATATATTATAGCTTGGTAGCTCTTTTTACCTCTGTGAGGTGGTTTATGTTTTTCAGGAAAACTTTCCAGTCTACTGTGAAGTCCTCGCGAAGATTAAGGTTCTTGAGGAGGTACCTGAACTGCTTGTCTGATAATTTGAAGCAGAAATGGTCAAGTACTTGCTGCAATTCCAGTGCTTTAATTACTCCAGTGTCTTTTTTATCAAATTGAGAAAACGCCTGAAAAGCAAGAATTCACATTATTTAAGAAAACCTAGACATCCCAAAAAAGAAGCCCTTTTAGCAATGATTTAGCAGTTGACATGTAAATACCTGAGACCCATATGCCTTTTACTTGCAGGTATTTTATACATGAAGAAACAAAACACATTTCTCAGAACCTTACTTAGTTTGAAGCTTCCCTTTCTTTTAAAAATGAGATGCAATTGTTGAAATAAGCCAAAAATAGCCTATATTTCTGTGCCACATGTAAATATAAATATTGAAATAAACAACAACCTACAGTAAAAGCAAAAAGGCATTATATCAAGCATTCAAACATTCCAGAAAACGTAGTGGTTAAGACAAGACAGGAAACAACAAAAATATTTGAGGATTGCCTTAAATAATTTTAATTAAATTATTTTTAATTAAACTCACCTGAGCATATTTAATTTGCCTTTTGTTCTCCCCCCAAATTATTATCCCTGGCAGGGTAAGTTCTACTCTGTAAAGGACTTGATAGTCCTTCATCCTCACCAGCTTCAGTTCATCCTGAAGGCTTACTTGCTCTCTTCTCATCCTCCCTTGCATAAAATGCACAACTTATTCTTCATGGGAGTTTTCCAAAGGTTTCCCAGGGGAAATAGATTAGCTTTAACAGAGTTGCAGCAGAAGGCATGCAAGAGAGTAGTTCAAATGAGTGACAGAAATACCAAGGTCTAGAAAAGTTGTGGGTCATAGCCACTCTTTCTGCCTGGCTGCTACTAGCTTATCATGCCCCCTTGTTTTATTCTGCCCCTTATTTACGATGCTGTACATATAAGTCACTGATTCCAGAAATATAAATGAATATTACGCCTTTCAAAACTTCAGGTTAAAGTCTTATTAGTCTGCTAACATTATAGCATTGGTGTAATACAGATTTTTTGCTTTACCATTAGAACTGTTCTAAATAATGAGCTTAAGAATGTGCATTTAATGTACATGAACCATGTCTACTGGAAAAAAAAAAATGTTACCATATCCAAAGGATATTGGAAAGGAATCCTTTGAATGCTAAAGAGGATTCCATAACTTCTTAATATGAAAGTCTGATCTTTGCTTACATACTGAAAGTCTTATGGGAAAAACCAAGCACTCAGTATATATTATGCATTGTACTGAGTACGGGAAATTATTATACTGACAGAGGGGACCCACCTGAACTCTTAAACTAGTTGTTATGAAACTTCAAGGGTCTGTATTCAGTTGTAGAAATGTGGTTGGAATGTGATGGTTTGTTTTGTTTTGGTTTGGTTTGGTTTGTTTTTCAACTAGCTGGACTCCAGGATTTGTGCTTCCAGATCTGCACCTTTCTAACAAAATATTTTGTTGTAAACTTATGTCATTCGTTCCCCATCACATAGGTGGCATCAGCTATTACTCAAAAAATGGCTCAGGAGAAAATTGAGAACTTCCTTATTTTCTCATGTAAGGGAATTGAGAAAAAGTTCTGCTTTTCAGTAGCATGGTGGACAAAGTCTGGCTCTCCATAGAGAAAATCCCTTGGTCCCTGAAGTTATAGTAACCCCAAGATGGTACCCTAAAAGACTAAATGGATGATTAATTCATGCCAAAAGTAATTTCCAATCATACCCTCAGCAGACAAAACTGTGACCTTCTCCTTTCCCAATACCCTCAAGGATGAGAGGACAGATACTGTCTTCTGTTAAAATTTAACAAATGCTAACCTATGTTATTGAATTTAACTATTTCTTATTTCAATAATGCAGAGCACAGGAAGGACTTTTTTCCCCCTTACTATGAAAAATGTAGAGTGATTATAAAAATATTTCAGTATCCTGTTCAATGGTTAGCCTATCTGACCAAAAAAGGCAACATGGCCCCAATAAGTTTACAAATGTAAACTTGGGGTCTGCAAATAGTGTGAAAGGAGATTTCTATGAAGAATCAGCATCTCCCATGGTAGTACTCCTTTTGGGTGCTTGTGCCAGCGGCATCACTAGTGATGTTTTTGTTGGAAGCCTGTGTTATTTTGAATTGCAGGACAGAGTCCACAGATTGAGATTTCAGAAATGCAGCCATTGATGACAGGGAATTTCTGCCCCCATCGTCTTCCCAGCCATGGCTCCCTTCCCCTCCCTTGTGTGGGAAGCATTTCTCCCATGGATATGGACATCTCATCAGGCTCTTGTCAGGTTGAAGTTCCCTGACCTGGGTCCTTGGACAGGAAGACAAGTACTAGTTTTGGCATAGGGCAGGTGGGAAGACCACATTGCTGGGGACACAGGGGTGGTGGGACCAGCTTTGCAGGCATAAGCTTGCCTCTAAAACCATTAGCTTAACCTGGTCCTGAAACTGCAGGTGTAAGTGAGATGGCTCTACAGTTCTTTGTAATAGCAATGTTTCCTTCAAGGTCTTTTTGATTATTCTTTCACACGCTTGAAAACAATCTTACTGTGGCATCAAGAATTACATACTCTAGAGGCTGCAACATTTTAGTAGACTCTGACACAACAGTCTAACACTAGTTAATATACAGCATTTTTTCATTCAAGGCTTTCAAAATTCTAGAGAGAAGTGGTTATTTTTATTGTTCTCATTTTACATGTGGGAAAACCAGGAAACATGTTGCTCAGCAGCTAATGCACCTTATCTGTCTGTGTCAGAACCAGAAGTGGCCAAGAGCAAAAATGCAAATAGTCACAGAGCCCCAGCTGACAGGTGCTAACTTCTGAAGCCACAATAACGTGCTCACATCTGATCGTATGTCTTTATGCTCAGTTCCTACATGATCCTTTCATCTAATAAAACCATTATACCTGCCTGCAGTAGCACAGTACGTCTACTTACGATAAGTCTCAGCTTAGGAAACTCAACAGATCTGTTTGAAAGACGTGATATTCACATGCTCGGGGCACAATTTGCAGACAACTGGAGGAGGAAAAGGGGTTTGGGGAAGAGAAGAAGGTCCTGATAATTTGATATTTGTTTTTTCCTTTCCAATCGTTACCTTCACAAAACCTCTAGGCTTGATGTGATATGCTTGTTTGGTGGAGTTACCAGAATATAATTAATTAAGGACTCTGCAGTTGTCAGAAGATGTTATTTCTACATAGGCCAAGTTTGCTGGTAGTAGTCATCAATTAATAGCATAAAAGTTTTGAAGACCCTGGTTAGTCCCCAGACAAGCAGAAAAAAACAGACATTAAATAAGATGTGGTGACCACATGAAACTTACCTTGTACAACAAATCATAAGATGATGCAACTATTTCTTTTATCTTAATTAGGGTCTGTTCTAAGCTGAGTGCTGCAAAGCTTGCAGGTGGTGCAGCCTGCTTTTGTCTCTGTTGGTATTTAGATGCTCTGCCATCATCAATTGCTCTCAGGAAATCAAAATAAGAGAGCTTGCTGTCATGAATGCTGATTCCTAAACTAAGAGAAAAACACAGAATGAGATATCAATGATTTTAAATAATTATCTCGCTGTTGTCTGTACTGATTAATTATTATGATGTATTATTTGTACTGTGGCAGCACTTCAGGATATGCTTGTGCTGTCACTGTATAGATCCTGTTAGTTCCAACCCAAACTCTCAGGTCTAAGCCACCAATCCTCTCATTTAAATGCAACCACACTCTCAGACGCAGATCCAAGCCAATCTCCAGATGCTCAAGAGCTGACCTGCTTTAGCCTGGGCCCAAGTGCACAACCTTCCAGTCCATCAGCATTAACTTTGTGCTTTTTAAACACAGCACAGTATTTTGATTACAATCTACTGCTGAGCTTACTATCCCCAATGTGACTGGAGGACACGCTGGCTCCCAAACTTGTCCTTGAATCTCCTTTTCACATCACAGTGTAAACACGGTCTGATAGACTCTGATGAGGAGTAGATGGTCATTCTGCAAAGTGCTGGCACTTTCCCTTGACTTTCTGCTTTACAAAAATACCCTTGACTCACAGATGCTGAAGTGCTGCTTAAGCCTCCCAGTATGTCATGATCACTACAACGCTGAGAGCAGAACCACATGCAGCCTGGTAAGCTGTTACCAGACACAAGCTAAGGACATCCAGTACTGCTACATTACAGGTTTCATGGATGTACCAGCACAGGTCTACAATCACTCACAATTTCTCTACCACATGGGAGAAAACGGAACCAGGTTCCATACAATGTTTCTCCTTATGTTTGTGATAGAAGGGCTTCCCTCTCAACCTTCACTTCACTTTGCACGGCTTGCCCGGCCACTAGAGAATTATTTTACATGTTCTTGGCAGGACTCAGCCTCACTGTTGGAAGCACTGGCCCTCCCTCCCTTAGTGGGCCCACTGAGCAGCACAGAGGGTTGGTACACCCGGCCCAGCGGCCACTGGTGTCCAGTGAGGGTTTCTCTTCTGATCGCTGGTGGTCAGGCGGTACCCGGGAGCCCAGCCCGCAGGCTCTGCAGGCTGCACTCACAACTTGCCGAATTTCTGTCTGTCAGCTGAAACATCTGCTGGATCACAGACACTGGGGAATTTCATGTTCTGTCACATCGGAAATTCAGTGGGTTACAGAGCTGACTACAGATAGCTCCAGGTAATAACAGTGAATATATTTTTGCATCAAATATCAGCATGGGGAAAAATAAGCTCTTGCATATGATATGGGAATTTTTTTTTTGCAGAGGAATTTGTTACCAAGATAAATTAATTCTTATTCAAAGATGTTTTACTATAAAAAGACTGGAATTAAGGCAAACTTCACATATGCAGAAAATATGTGAATATAAAAGTTATTTAGCATGAAAGACAATATGAATAGTGCTAACCATTACATGAAAAGCTACTTTCCTTCCATATCCTCTGACCTGTGACCACTTAATGAAAAGACACTAGGTATGTTTTAAACAAGGACTTCAAACCTGTCTAATGAGCCTGTAGAGTTCATTACCACAAGGGGAACCATATCAGGGGCTTGCTCTGCTCTCACCCAGTATAAAGCCAGTGCAGTCAGTCTGTGGAATTTCCTACCACTGAAAGACAATCAGAGTCTCCGGACTACAATCTACATTAGGTGTTTTTGATACAGATCCATTGGCTCCCATAGAATTATTTCAGATTGACCTCAGAGTAACCATACCAGCTTTTTAATAGACTTTAGTAATTTTATAGCAAATTATCAGAACTATAGATTCTTTACACACATATATCAGGTAGATAATTCCTATGCTGAAGGGGAAAGGCTGGACTTTTTTTTTAGTTTTGCATTCGTCTTTTTTGTTAGAATTATGGTCAAGACAAGTCCTAGAGAGCCAAGACTTGACAGAGAAGATGGCTCCACTACACAACCATGATTTTCTTGTTTAAAACTGAGTTACTGTAATGTACTTTTATCATCTGTTTCCACAGTAAATCACTGGGGACCAATGCCTCAGCTACCAATCACCAGAATATCCAGTTACAAGAATGTCTAATTAATGGGGAGAGCCAGTAAAACAAAGAGGAAGCTTTATAAAACAGGCTGGAAAAGAAATTAACTATAGACCCCATATCTGCTAGTAAGAAAAAAAATATTCAAGAGCCCTGATTTTGCATCTTGCAGCTGCACAGCACTCCCACATACTACCCGTGTCAAGCTGGCTCCAATATTGGAGACAGTGTGTGGAAAAGGAAATAATCAACACCATTTCAGCGGAGAAATAAATTGCCAAGTGGGCATTAAAATTTTAGTAATAAAACTAAATGCATATGCTAATCTACTCTGTATTATTTAGAAAAGACTATTTTGGATCAAGAAAGGAATAATCTGCACAAAATTACAATGAATGGAGGTGTTTATCATCAAGAGGTCTTTGAGAAAGAAACAAGCAGCAGATTCCTATTAAGGTTTCAATTCATAAAAAGTTGATCACCCAATTAAAGGTGAACTGTGAAAAGACTTTGTTAATTTTATTTCAAAAAAGAGTCTGGTCTGGCAGGCTCTGGAGAACAAAACCCAATGCTGCCAGGCATGTGACCTTTGGGGGACTGTTTGGTGCAAAGAACTGCAGTACCTAGTGTTGGAGCAGGTCCTTTGTGTTTTTCAGCTCTACAAAAGAGATTTTTCTTCTTACTCATATTAACACAAAGAATTAAAAGCCTAGTTTTACATGGCAGCAGCACTGGATCATTTGAAAATTATTCCTACCTTATAACTTGATTTAATTCTGTTTCTATTTTGAACAGGATCTGTTTCACACACTTGCTTGATTAAATTGAAATTAAATAAATAAAACAAACTAGCAAACAAGTACACATACTCAAAGCATATTTTTTATGTAAGAAGCCATTTCACTCCCATTAACTGCAGAATCAATACATTACCTAAAAAGATTCTTGACACATATGCAGTTTTAAGCATGTTGTTATCTCCATTAGTTTTAACAGAGCTTCTTGTGTGCTTAACACTAATTAGAAGCTTATAGGCTTTTGCTGGGTGTGACCAAAGAGGTCCTTAGGAGATAATCATACAAACCTGTTTAGAAGACTGCTGAACTGATCGTGATCAAGGTAATAGTCAAATTCTTGTAGTATTCTGTGCAGGTCACATACTGTTACATAGCCATCTCTATTTTTATCTACTTTATGATAGGCCTTATTGAAATCTTGGAAGTAATCCCTAAATTTATCCCTGAAAGAGAGCAGATGTTTATTTTAGCTCCTTTGTTAAATGAGATAAAAAGGATACAAACAAATATACAAAATAGGGGTGGAGGAGCAGAGAAAGATTTTGATCTTATTTGTGTGTGGTAAGTTCATATAATTTATTCAAAGACTGCCAAATTATTCACAAATAAACCTCAAACCCAACATTATCCCCACCCCCATTTAATTTGCACATGGAATTGCATGGCTCAAGTTGTAAAGAAATGTTACTCGGGTGATTAACTGGCTACTCTCCCTGTTCAAAACTGCAGATACAAAACAGAGTTCTCTCTTTTAAAGTCTGTCTTGATCAGTGTTACAAAATGTTTAATACAGCCATTAAAATGGTAAAAGTTTGGCAGCATACTTTCTGCAGTTTGAGGCTCCTGAAACTCTGACATAGTAAGAACTACTATTTCAACAAGAACGTTTATACCTGACCAAAACCTGGGCTAGCAGAGGGCCTGATCCATGCCCAAGGGAAGAAGTGCAGAACTTCTCCTGACTCATGTGGACACCTTACAACCTGACTGAATTCAGGCCTCCAAATCTAGACTCTTCCTCCCATTTTATTTTGTCACTTATATTTTACTGAAATCAGGGACCTCAGACTTTGGAAACTCAAGCAATATGCCTCTCTGCTTCTTGACTTAACCAAAGCCTCTCCACATTTTGGCTCAAGAGGACAAGGCAGGCACAATCATCTCTCACTATGCATGTCTCCAACTAGCAAAGTGACTTAAGATTAATGTAAATTAAAGTAGTTGTGAATTATGTCTTGCTGTAGATTACCAAGTATACATAAATTATCTACATATATTCAGTGCTTACAAGATGCTACCCTTATGGCAAAACTGACAAGTCTGGATCTGGGTATAATACCTACAGCCACGCTCCATTTGCTTTGGGATTGCTCTTTCCGACAGCCCTAGGGTACAGAGTGTGGAGGCTGGGTTCTTCAGAGAGTCAGGATTTGTAGTATAAAAGTCTTATTACAGTGATAGCACAGTTCAACAGTGTAACCCACATAATCAGGCATGATTCATTGCCTCAGCCACTCACCAAGCCTGCCTGTGGATCTAACAGCTCAGATCAGTTCACTCTGCTCCTTGTTAATCCACCGTCAATCAGCCAGCACCCAAGTCTTACATTTTCTCCTTCCTATGAATACCATGCAATCAGTTGTTATAAGGCTAACACAGGACATGCTAAATTTCATATGCTTTTTAGCAATACTCAGTAAGTCTTTACAGAGCTCTGCAAGCTCTCATGGATCTCCTTAGAGGTGTCTGGTCTCAGCTCCAGTTACTGGTGCTGTCTTTCCTCTCACAGCATTGCAGAATCCTTGGTTTTCCATTTGTTTTCAAGAAACTGTAAATTCAGTACAGCCTTTACAAGAACAATAAATTTTTCTTGCCATTTTTTTCTCCTAAGAATCTGTCCTTTTGGAGTTTGCACTTCATAAGAACAAAGAGTAATTTCTCCACAGCCCTCCGGGTGCAGGAAACACCATTGTGTATGCAAACAGCATCACCTACCTTAAAAAATCTGAATTATGATATGACTTAGGTGGGTTGTTAGCAATTTATTGTATGCTTCAGACCCATTGTACCTTTCACTGTTATATGGACTAAATTGGGAGTACTGGGACTCTCTGCTTAACCAAGTTTCAGCTGGCAAGAAACCATTTTTAAATTATATTTCTCTCAAGTTCAGTGAAAGCATGGATCACTTCTCAGCTTCACAGCTTGCTCAAACTGTTAACAGTTTTAACACAGCTCACCATTGTATTCAGGATATCTGGATAGCCTTCATTCCTTAAAAATCACTTCAGGTCTGAGCTGCTGAACAGGGCACCCCGATAGACAAAATTTCTGGGACTCCATACCCAATCAAATAGAGCATTAATGTATGCCATAACATGTTCTGATGTTAAATTCAATCCAAATGCAATTTCAGGCTAATGTCCGAGTCAGATATTTACAGCAGGTTCAGATGTATCAAGATATGGTCTTTCACATTTTTCAGCAGCCTTGTGAGTGTCCTGTATTCTGTGAGGCATGTCAGGTCATAACGCATTGTGGCTGCTATGCTGTTACTTCTGAGTGTGCGCCCCTAAACACAGAGAACTCTGATCTCATTGGTCATATGGGCTTGGTATGGAATGACCTTGCTACCCAGCAGGCTCTAACCTTCGTGACTTTCTGCATTGTGTCATCGTCTGCACAGCCTCACCAAACTTAGCCCACTTTCTTCTGAAATAGGACAATACTTTTTAAGATATTTTATTTCCATGGGTTATGTCATTCTCTGTGTTGTTTTCAAGAGCAGACGACTTGAATGGTCTAGAAAGTAGGTCTTTGATCAGTAATTATTTCTCCAATTTAAACTTTATTGTCAAATTGAATGGTTTGACCTAAAATTAAAACCACTGAAAGTCACACTATTTTTATATTCTGGAAGCTGATCTTTCTTTTGCCTTCATAGTGGTTTGTCTCAGCTCTGACCATAACAGATCAATAAACAAATATGTGACATTTCTTACAATTAGAGAGCAGAGCCAGAGCTCTCTCGATCTGTGCCTCAAATTGAGGTGTTGACAAGCACCCTAGAAACAGAGGACACTCATTTCCACTTACTATTTTTCTGATAACACTGCTTGTAAGCCATCTTTTGAAGACTTTGTCTGTCTTGTAGTGATAATATAGATAACGCAAGGAGTTGGGAAATCTTATCCTAAATTTACAGCCCAGTATGTCCATTTTGTGTACTAAGTCAAAAGCTACTTGAACAGATTGCCCATGTGATATGAACTCTCATGTAACATTGACGTGCTAACAGGTTTCTGGATACCTTTGTTATCTTTGTGGATGGCATATTTGTAACGACTCTTTTATCTTGTTAACAGTTAATCTTTTATGTTATTTCTCTGCTCTTACATTTGCATTTCTGTCTAATCCCACTTCTCAGGCCCTCTTGGATACATTTTTCAGATTCCCTGCTGTTTTTTTCTCTATTGACATCTTCAGTATCTATTTAAGCAGCCACAGTTGTTTCAAGTGAATGGCTTTTCCTACACTTCCCTGTGAAAACTCAGGAATGGACTTTAAGCCTAAAGGAAGACTTTGAAATCAGAATGTCCTGTAGAGTGGTCTAAAAATGCATACTGTTAAACTCCTATCATGCAAGGAAGTTTGTTTGGATCCAGCAGAAGAATCTCAATTTGTAATTTTTGTAAAAATGTATTAATATTTGTAAAAACTTACGCAGTCCTTTTTACCTGAAAATATCCTTTGTAGAACACTGTCTGTCCTGAAACATGTACTTAGTCCCATTGGATGTAAGAACAATCTCAGTGACTTGTCTTTTGATCTTGCTGTTGTTAATTGGCTCTTCCATTTTTAAACTTCCCACCATTACTCCTACATAATCTAGCTCCTTTACGAGCCTCTCTCTCACAACCAGAGGAATGTTCCTGGCAGCACACATTGTTATGAAAATACAGGTCTCTATTCTGTGTCTACTTTATCTCTGATACTAAAGATTTCTGGCTACTGATCTTCTGTGTTTATGGTTCCTTCATCAGACTCACTGCTTTAACCAAGCCCAGGGCTAGTCATACTTTAGACCAAACATTAGCTCTTTCTGCCTATAAACTTAAATTACTGTGCTTATCTTCACTTTTCAATTTAAATTCATACAGGTCTTCAGTAGGAATTAGGTTCTCAGTAGAACCCCCTCAGTTTCAACAGTCTTTCTTCATATGTAAAGATTACTGAGCCAGATTTTTTACAGTGTGTTTGGAGATAACATTGACTGAGCAGCAGTTTTGAATTTAAAGGTGTTTATTCCTTGACTGCAGCCCCCTTGTGCAGTTTTTGCACAGAATCTCTATGTGGTATTTTGTTGTACTGTTAGACTGTGTACCATCACATAGATCTGGGGATATGGAAGCTATTCTCTTTGGCTTCTGCTTTTTCAGTTGCAAGGTCTCACAAAATAACTGTATTTCTTACAGCTGCTGCAGAATTTCTAAGCTCCTGGACCTAATGTGAATCTGTGAATTTTCATATATTTCACTTTGGATACTTCTTGCAGATAGCTCTGAAGAGTCTCTTCAAAACTATCCTAGTTTCTTTTCCTGACAGACAGCACGTCCTGCTCCCTTTCTGATATTTCCATACTGCCCTATGACTGTCCCAGCTTGACTAAACAGACTTTACTATCTTTCTTTTTTTTTTTTTTTTTTTTAGATTTTAGAGCCTACCTTCCTGAGATCTTTTCTGTATCTTTGGATTTTAGACGCCAATCACTATCTGATCCCTTAAAACAGAATCTATGAAAACGTCATAGCTACTTGACTGATCCAATATTTTAAGATCAGCTAAAAATTCTTCAAAGGATTCCTCCTTCTGCATTCTCATGTGAAACTTCTGTCTTTCGAAAGTTCAAGTTTCCTTGGGAGTGCAATATTCCTTCAACTTTCTGTAGCTGCATGGATTGCCCTCTCACCTTGGCTTAGTTTCATGCCATTAAAAACTTTGATAGCTCCTACTCCTGTAATATTCCATAAAATAGTTGTGAGCTTCCTTATGATTAATCTAGCCACCGTATATAGATTTCAAAGCATGATGTGAATCTTTTCAAGGAAACTGCAATATTGCCAGTATGTTTTAGAGTCTCTAAAAGCCCCTAAAGAGCTATCACCTTTTCTCTCACTTTCAAATGTCTTTTTCCTAGTTAATTCCTTCCTCTTTTTCACATTCTGCTCCTGTTACCATGTGGTACATGGTTTACACTCAAAACAAGACTTGTATGGGAAAGAGCACAGAAGTATGCTGCAGAGGGTGCACATCAGTCAGAGTGCACTTGCATTGCACTCAAGCTGGCTTTACTGTCTTGAATCTCCATGTATCTAATTACTGACTAACCAGCTTAGACTCATTCAACCTCATCTTAGATATGAGACCCTAGAGATCCAACATTTGCTAATTACATCTCTGAGTTTTAACTTTTATTATGTTCAGAAGCCTACAGACTTTCCAGCAGAGACACAAATCTAAAATCTCCCAACAGAGGGTTTGCTTTTTTTGAGTTACTGTAATGTGCCGCAGCTTAAACCCCACAGTTTTACAGCGATTGCAAAGGGGCAATGAAGGAGGAGGATGGGTGCTGAGGCCCAGCAAGAGACCAAGAGAGTCACACCTTGGAAGCTGGACACAGCAGCCTAAAAGCCAAAACCACCCTAAGGGCAGTTTGTCATTTCAGTGAAAGATTGGTCTCCTCCAGCCCTGGAAGACTATTTAGTATTGCTCCACCCACCTTGCAAGGGTGTGCTCTGCAGGAGTGATATAGTCCACGTTGTACCCTTGCTGCAGAAGAATTCTGGAACCCTTTTCAACTGTATGTTACTTGCAGTGCCACTCTTCATCACCATTACCATCTTCCACTTAAATCTTCCCAAAGAAAATAAAGGCTGAAGTAAAATCAAAACAGTTTTTGAGACTCATATTTTTGGAAAATTGAGGCATTCAGCATTTTCAGATTGATAAAAGATTTCTAAGCAGTAATTATTTCACTCACAGCAGTAAATATGTGCGTGAAGAAAATGAGGATTAAAACCATAGATCAAGCTACAATGCCAAAAAATAATATTTTCTTGCAAATGTTTTGTATTTTTTCTTGAAGAGCTGGAGAGCCACTGTTCAATGTCTGTTTCTAATTTGGGCGATTTGTTCCTGTGAGTTACAACAAAAGCAAAAGGGAGAAAAAAAAAAGTGCACAGCAGTATGTTTTGAATTGCAAGACGTCCAGAGTTTTTGTCTGCCTCACAGTGTGTAATCACAGGGCACCGAAACAGCTCCGAAGCTGTTAGGGCAAAGTTCACAGCCCTTGCAGAAAGCCAGAAGAAAGGACACAGGCTGGATGCAGCCACTGGGCAAACAGAAATGAGTGGGCCTAAGCAAGACGGCAGAAGGGGGAGTGGGTGCTGCACTCAGTGCTGCTGAAGTGGGCCCTATAACCAGCAAATTCACACCTCAGGCAAATGCCTCCTTTCAGTCCAAATTTGACAGGTGAAAGGACTCATTTTTCCAGCTCTGAGAATGGAGTGGGGGCTGAGATTCACCTGGATCACCATGGTTAGGTTTTGCAGCCACTTTTTCTGCATCCGTTTTCCTGACCAAGAGCAGATCTCCTTACGCTGACCGTTACGGCAGGAGGACGTGGTGCCCACCTCTGCTTCCCTTCTCTCTTACATGGTCCTGGAGCAGAAGGCTGACACCCAGCTGGATCGCTGCCCTCACAGCTACCACACAGATGGATTTCGTCCATCAGACAGTGACTCCATCTTAAGAGGCATTTATGGCTTTCCAGGGCCTTACATGAAATCTGAGGATTTCAGAGTCCTGGATTCAATTCCTCTTGCACTTCCAGCTTTCTGAAAGAGAAAACCAGACAGGGACAGCTACCACAGGACTGCTCTCACTGGTCAGGGGGTGGGTGAAGAAGTTTGGGAGACAAAAAAGAGAACTTTCAGCAGAACTGAAAGGTGAAAATAATCAATAACAAGGCATACTTTAGAGGACCACAAGCAATTAAGCTGTGAACTCATTCCCAGACAAATTGCAGATGCCAGGAATTTCAAAAGATTAAGAACAGAACTGGATGTCCTATGTATATAAATCAAGAAAATCCAGAATCTAACAAATAATTATAATTTTTGAAAGAGATATAAAAGTCCCATCTGCAGGCTTAAACCAAACTCTGTCATTACCCAGGATGAGACAGCCCCAGGGCAGGGGACAGAATCTTCCACATCCACCTATTAGAAGGCTGCTCCACCCTGACCAGAACGTCTGATTCCAGTTGCTAGCAGGTAATTGAATCCCAGTTACACTTGACCCAGTCTGCCGATTTCTGTTTTCCTCCAAATTATGGTTAAGCAGTCACTATGCACTCATATGTATGTATTTGTGTGTATAGTTTCCATAAACATAGCTCTATACACAGTTGTTATTATGGTAGGTTCTCAAAAGTAAATAATTCTAAATGATGTGGACCTGCCAGAATGTCATATCATGGCTATTTTATTTTTACCCGGCATGTCTTCCCCATTGATTTAATTACTCTCCAGCTGCTTCAGGATGAGTATTTGCATCTTTGAGCCACACTGCATAATTTCTGCTTGCAGCACAGCATCTTCCCTACTTGCAGAGCTGCTTCTTATTTATAGCGTTGGAGGCAGGGCTACCTTGCATTTGCTATTGCTCTGACAGGAAAGAAATAGAAGGTTCCTGACTAAAAGACCTCTTCATCCAAGTGTAAGACTAGAGACAACTGGATGGTACAACAGAGTGGAAGAGCCCAGGATGAGACACTTACGGCCCGAGTTTCACATCAGACAGTTACAAATCCAGTAATAAGCAATGCCTAGTACACAGCAGCTGCCTAACCACCTCTGTTGTGTATTATGCAAGTTTTTACAGGTGGAATGCCCATTGATACCTGTGGGTGTCATAAGGGCAGTTTATGCCAGAGAGCTGCAATGCAGGTGGGAGTGTTGTGATGCTGAAAAGACAGGACAGTTTTGCTCTCGATTCTTTCAGCCTATTTGGGATATTGAGAAACAGAATTCTAAAAAACAGGGTAAAAAAGCAAAAGCCTTAGCTTACCAGCTTCTCTCTGTGTTTTGTGGTGGTTTGTTTTTTCTGTCTAATGATTTCCCAGGCTGCCTCTTTATCTGCAAAACAAGGCTGCTCTTCTTTGTTTATGAGTGTATCACCTTTACCAACAATGTCATGGGGAATTATAATTCTTATCAATAACAATTTATTAGTTCCTACAACTTCCAGACACTTTCCAAGCACAAAAGAAAGCAAATCTGTGCTCTTGGGCTGTATTTCTACATGGTTTTTGCTCCTGAGGGTTTATACTCCTAAATAAAAAACAACAACTAAACCAAAAAGAGTTCAGGAGAAGAGTGAAAGCACGAGCAGAAAACATGATAAGCATCCAGGTGGTGTCTACTCACAACCTGGAAATATAAAGTTTTAACAGCACTGTACTGGGGCAGAGGAGTCTCCTGCTGCCTCAATCTGCTGGCAGGTGCAGGAATCCTGTAGCAGCAGCAGGCTAATCGCTGCTGACTCACTAGGGCAAGTACGGATCATTAGACTCCACTCTGAGTAGGATATAATTTTGTCATTTGTTTGTCAAATGCTCTTCTCAGGAGCAGTGACCTATTAACTCTGTGAGTGTTGATTTTGTTTGAGGCAGAGACTCCTCTTGCTTGGAGACAAGATGCTTATTTCTGTCATGGAGCCAGGGTCCATCCTTGTCAAGGCTAGTTTTTGCTGCACCTTCAAAGCCGTTTACTAAAAATTTAACTAGCTGCTAAAGGGATGTGAAACCAACTGTGATTGCTACTTGGCTCTCATACAAGTGACAGGGGAGTCTATGAGGCCCCAGTGTCCTACACGCCCACTCAGTCCAGCTGCAAGAAAAGCCCCTGTTGAGTGTAATCAGGTAGGTCTAAGTCTACATTGCCTGAAGCAGTCTGAGAAGAGACCTGCAGGGGGACAAAACTGCATTTGATTTTCTCCCCTCCATCTGAGCTGATAGCAGTGGTAGGATTGGCACCACAAGCTGAGATGATACCAACAAGCAGGCCAGGGCGTGCTCTGGACACAGAGGCCAGCTGGCACATCTTGGCTAGTGAACCTTCTTAGCCACCGAAAGGGAGCAGCTGCCTCCAAACTGCCCATTAGGAACAGTCCTTGAAGCATTCTTGCTCCCAAACGCTGCTGGGAGCGATCAGGGAAAACATTAGCTTACACAGGCCAAAGCATGATGAGGACTGTTTTGGCAGTCTAGCAGCATAGAGGACTGAGTCTGGGAATGTCTCTGAACATTCTGATTTGTCAGTATAGATGCTGCCATAAAGTCTGTAAAATAAGTAATATAAGCCATGGAGAATATCTATAAAAAAAAGTCTCACAGTGCACGCTGAGCTAGGCTTATCTCCAGTAAATCAAGGGAATAACACTATGGATAAGCTTGGCCCAGTGCCTTCTGAGACTCCTTTTCAGAGTCTTTTTTTTTTTTTTTGTAAAATTACATTTATATTGTACACAGTGTCATCTTAACAAACTAAACACAGACAAAGTTATATGCTAAGCTCATAAATAACTTACTTGGTCTGCTTTTTAATTTCTCCAACATGCAGAGTTTTAGTTTGCTGTTTCTGCTGCTCTTCCAGCTTTGAATGCTTCTTTTGTTGATTATTATAATGTGCTTGTAAATGTGCATAGCTGTCTTCCATGATGTGTCTGCTGAGCCCTGTGTCAGCGGGTGCAGACTCTATCCCCAGTTTCTTTAAAAATTCGTGATGAGTAAGATATCCTTTTGCATCTGTATCATACCTTGAAAAAGAAATACTCTTTTTAAATATTCATGGATTTCTCATAGAAAGGCATTACAGATGTCCTTAAGTGACTTAACAGCTTAAATCTCACTGACTTCCCTTCATTATAGAGGTGCCATACCACACTGATAATGAGTGACTTTATATGAGACTCGAAAGATAGGGCTCCTGCACTGTAATCACAGTTGATTATGAAAATACTACCCCAAGGACTAAATTGTCAGTAGTATTCTCCAGCTCTCTGTACTGTTGCCTTTCAGTGTCTGGTTTGTGGTGCAGAGAACTGGGCTCCTAAAAATCCAGCCTCAAGTGTCTCAAACTGGCTGCACAAGTCAGAGATGCTCAGAATTGTAAGCATCCTTCAGAAGCACAGGTTTAGCTTCATAAACGCTTTCTATATTTTCTTAGGTATAAACTCTTCCAAAGGCTTTTCCCCCTGCAGTTTCTCCCTCTGCTAGTGCTCCAATGCGTGGTAATGCCTAATTTAGCCTCAGCTTCACTCTAATTCCTTTATTCAAGTTACAGACATATCAGGCACGTAAGAGATTTCAGCTATTCTATATAAGGAGTGGCTGACGGGATTGAAGTTGTGTGGCAGATGACTGCATGAAAAGGATACTTTTCAATGTGCCATGGCATCCGTAAGGAATAAGAATGGAAAGTAAAATCTAATGGAGTAGAAAATAATTCAGAGATGAATCAGTGCTAAGAAAAATCTACATAGTTAATGCAGTTTGAAACCAAAATGCAATACACTCAGGTTCTATATGTTAGAGAGAGTGATTGTTTTTTTAATAGACTTGTAATGAAGGTAGATTTTTATATAACGTCACATACAGCTGACACTTAGGCCATTTCAAACACAGCTTATAGCACAGCTCCTCCTTGTTGAAGGCAGACAAGTATTTTCCCCCCACAACAAATTACTTGTCTATAAAAACATAGCATGATATTACTTGCCAACTTTACACAGCATGAAATTACCTTACTTTCTTTTGTTATGTATTCAGTATGTAGCATTTTTTCTTTTGATTGAATCACTTTTATTTTGGTTGAAAATATTGTAAGGAAATATAGTGCTCTGAAAAGGAGATGCTGGTAACACTGTCTTCCGACAGGTATGCAATGCCAACTGTACACAGATCTCCTTGATGGAAGCTTTGTCTGCAGTTCCCACCTCACCCCAGACACCTGGAACTGACTTTCATCCATCACAAACTGAGGTTGGCATCTGTGTGTACAAACAAAATTGATGAAAACCAAGCCAATTTAACTGGTGACCCACGGTGCCATCCAAGAAGAAAATGCATGTTAAATTAAAGGGATCGGTAATAATGAATCCAATAGAAAGTCCTATCTTTGAATACATTGGAAACTGATAGATCTAATTGTATTCTTGATAGTATGTAGTAGATTAGTATGATAAGACGTAGTCTCCTGTAACACAGTGTCATGATCTGAGGTCATAATCAGAACAAAATAAAAGATTTCTTGTGCAGTGTAATCTGTGGTCATTCACTGCACTACCAAAGTCTCTGTGATCCTATAAAAGATGCATTATTGCAACAGCTAATCATTTAGAGTTGTCATACCTTGCCCAAAGCTGCTTAAATTTTTCTGGGGTAATTGGAATGCCAAATCTGAACAAGACTTTCTTCAAGTCCCTTGGCTGTATAATGCTGTTTCCTTCATTGTCAAATTCCTGAAAATTCTGGAATGTAAAAGAAATCATCACTAACAAGAACCAACAAGTTTGACAAAATGTTTGATCTCTCTATAAGCTTAATGAGTAATGGGAATTGAGAAAAAAATGGAAAATCATGCACATCTGAATTTAATCTTTTATTGTATTTTCATTTGATTTTTACTGTTTCATACTTTCTGCTATGGATGAGCAACTCTCAAAAGCTTGAATTGGGATTGACATCACAGATGTTTAGGTGATGTACTCTGTGTGGCAGGTTTCTTACTGGCGGCAAACACAGGGGATATGAGCATGAGAAATGTGCATGAAGCTGTGGGTGGGTATGCTCACTGCTGAAGCACACCAGTGGAAGATGATGGCACTGGAAAACATCAGACCTGTAGATTTCCCCCCCATCTTGTTCCATACTTAATATGAATTAGATTTTGCTTTGGGTTTTGATTGGTTGGGCTTGTTGGGTTTTTTATCATTCATCTTGCAAACTGAGACTACCAGTACTATCGTCTGATTTACACAAACATTTAATGAAAAAATCATAATAATTTTTCCTTGTGCTACCCTGTTGTACAAATGTTGCAACTATTCAACAAGCTAAAAAAGATAAAAAGCTGGAAATAGTTCTTATAGGACAGTTTTGTGAGATTCTCTTTGAATGATGTAAGCATCACAGTCAATGGTTCACTGTGCTGGGCAACGCTGGGTGTCAGCATAGGAGTACGTGTGTGTTTGTATACATCACACAGTCATACAGGCCTCAGATGAAGCTCATTACTACTCTTACAACAGAAACATTAAATAAAACCAAGGTTAGTAAAATATGAAGAAAGTTTTAGAAATAACTGTAATAGCATCTACTACATAATCAACATTACAAAAATCGAATATTATTCAACTGTCGATTTTTTTTTTTAATCACATAGTAAGTTTTTATCATTAATGAGCTATTTTGCAAGGGTTTCTGAATATTTATAGAATCTGAAGATCAACATTGCATAATGTTCTGAAATCTATTAGTGCTGCTTATTTATTTAAAGAAAACATTCTTCTTACCATTGCTAGGTCATGCCATCTGGTTCTTGCTTTGATAACAAGGTAGTAATGAGCGTGATCACAAGCTAGCTCTGCATCCGTTATCATCTGTTTTTTTCTCAGAAAAGAAAAGGAAGAAAAAAATAACAACTAACTATGTTTTACATTAGTGGGATCTTCAATCTTCACCAGTTTCCTTCCCTTTTGTTGTTGGTAGTGGTGGTTTTGCCTCCTAGTTTCTAAGATACACATTAAAGACTGTTGCTTCACATCTGTGCAAACTTAATTCTTTAAATACTGCCTTATTTCCCTAGCTGCAGGTTAGCGAAGATGTTTTAAATTTTGTAATTCCCTATTTATTTTCAAATCAGTGTTGTTCAATTCTCCCTCAAACTCAAGAGCCAGCATGGATCATTTATACGCATAGAAAGAAATGTTAATTATCTCAGAAACAATTATATCCTGGAGTGACTCCAGGAAGATTATCCTTGATTTACATCAATAACATAGATCAAAACTATTTTTGTGAGTAACCAAGGCACACCTAGTAAGTCTGGGGAGTAAGACCCACATTTGCAAACTCAGCCACCATTACAAGTGCCTAACTTTTTGGGGCCTGCTGCTTCTGTTTGAATTCAAGTATGCAGGGGGATATGGGTGCTTCAGACTAGGATCCAGCATAGCTGTTGCACTGCATGGGAAGCTGACTAAATCCGTGTGCTACACAAGGACACACCTACCTGTGAATCGAGGGGACCTTATACCTCACCATTCTTTGAAATAGTGCACCTTCCTTCACCTAAGAAGACCCACCCTTCTTTTGGTGCCCAATTCCCTTTAGTTTTTCTAAGCACTTCCAGTTAGAACATTGAGGAGAGGCTGGTCCCTTCTCTTAACACACAACTGCCCACCTCATGGTATGTCCTAGCACCCACTTCTCCTCCGGCCATTGCTTTGTAAGGAAATGCTGCAGACATATGTCTTCAGAGCTTGGTTCAGCTACGCCCCAGGAATATGCTCCCTGGACCAAGATTCTCAAATGAGAGGCAGAGGAATATTGAGTCTGAGGACCAGGTGAGACGTGGTAACTACATCTGACCTACCCACTGAGTTCCTATACCACCCATGGCGTATGCAGACCAGAATGTAGATCCTGGAGAACTGCAACACTCCAAACTCAGCCACTTCTGAGCTCCTGGGGCTCTGGGCCTTGACAGCCTTTGATGAGGGCTCTGTTTGGATTCAGGAACATGAATGCCACTTTAATCTATTTCAGGTGCCTGGGAATCTTCTGAGTTTTCCCCACTTCCACAGCTTGAGAGAAGATTCCATAAGCCTAAACAATTGATCAACAAAAATAGTCTAAGAACTTAGCTGGGAAAATGCAAGTGCTCTTAAGGCTTTCAATCACTGTTTTCTTTGCTGGACTTCTGAAACAGTAATAGTATTTAAAACAAAGAAATGCTGGAGCTAAAAGCAAAATGTTTCAACTTCCAGCTAAGTCCAAACTGAAACAGAAATGAGAGCATGACAGTAACTGGTCTCAGACTCCAACTGTTACACGACTCAACCATCATCAGCTTCCTTTCTTGTTTTAGACTGATATCCTTGATTCATTCAGTTGTCCAAATTGGGTAAAAAAGAAAAACAAACCAAGCAGATAAATATTACTAACATCACAGCCAACAGTAATGCTGTAAGAGACAAGTAAAAACTGGGAAATAAGCCTATGTGTATATATCACATCTTCACTGCCACAGCAGAGAGGAGTTGCTGATCAGGAGCTTTTTCGGTCCTGCTTTATCTTGTCATTATTTTTATGATTTTATTTCTGTTTGCATAGTTAAACAGAGTTTCACACTGAGTTTTTAGGATGAATTTTTAGTGCTTAAATGCTATTTATCATTAAAGGTAAGCTCAAACTTTGTTTATTAAGACTCAAATGTCAAAATTCCAGACATTTTAAGCAGCACCACTTCTCTCAGGACTGGAGGCTGCAGCACTGTTCTCCACCTACTCCACGGTGCCGCTGTGCCCTGGCAGCATAAAGGTCTGGAGCATGAGGCTTCAGGCTACTGTAATGTACACTGACAACAATATTAGTCTCAGAACTGACAGATACTGTGCCAGACAGGTAATAATACCCTGTCTGCTCCTTAATCCAAAATGACATCTGATTCCCAATCCATTTCCCCAGTTCTGTATGCCTGGGAGATTCAGCCAAGTTGTCCATTTTGAAGGCTAGCTCAGCTCTAAGGATCCAGCGCAGGCACCAGTATATATGTTTGACCTTACAGATTTAAGCAGTCCCCAGGGGTAGTTCTGGCATTTTAATCCAACAGCGGATTCAATATCTGATTTAATGGAGTCATAAATCACTGAGAATTTGGTAAAGCTACCCAACTTCAGCTTGATAAAGACACACTTTAATATTATCTTTTTTTTCAGCTATACCAAATAGAATTTTTCACACAGCATATTAATTTATGTAAACACATCAGATTACTGTAGGTCCTACACAACGTTTTTGCTTACTTGTGAAACGGCACGAGCTGAGGAGGTACCTCCATAGTTTCTTGGGTGTGGAACAGTTGACAGAATTCTTGGTAATTTAAAGTGGAGGTCAGGTTCATCCCCAGTAAATCAAGCAGGTGCAGGAATTCTTCATCTCTAAGACAAAGCCGAAAGCTCTCCAAGAATTGTCGAAAGTCAAGCATGTTGATGATACCGTTGTGGTTACTGTCTGTTTCACGGAAGGCAGAATAGGTGTCCTAACAAGGAATATTTAACTAAATGTATTTAACATGTCAACTACATATTTTTAAACATAAATAACAAATGTTTGCTCTAGACTTGTTTTGACAACAGGCAAATATTTTAACGCAGTTTGAGAATACAAAGCATTTATAGTACCGCCTTACTCAACACTTGGGATAGTCCACAGTAAACAGCAGTCTTACTGCTTTCATCTCAAGCATGTACAGAATTGGGAAAAAGTAGGGAGCATCAAAAATCCACCCCTATACATATTTAAAAATTAACCTCCGCTTTCCATCAGTACTATACTGAGAGGTACCTCATTTGTACCCATGCACACCCTTAGAAAAACTGTAATGAAGAGAGACTTTACAGCAATTGATTTACCAGCTGAACAGGTTCTTCCATTAAAACAGACACTAAATGTTCAAACACCTTTAAAATTGTGCAGTTCTTCAGGAATGTGAAGTGATGCTGATCAATATGATCAGCTTTGCTAGGTGTGTCCAAGATGGTTTGAAGACAGGATCCCTTTCCTGAATACTGATCTTTCCCCAGGGAACAGGGATGGGATGGGATGAACTGAGCAAAAGGGTAGTGACTGCAGCTTCTCTCCTTTGCAAAACGTGATCTTTCTTACTCTGCATATCCACGGTGAGAATTCAAGGAGTATATTTTAATGATAATTACAGAAAATAAACAAATGCAGAAAAGATGGAAAACAACTCTTGATTAAGATCACTGTGTTGCAAACTTTAGGGACTAATATCATCTTCTTGAAAGATCATTCTTATGAAGAGAGGGACTGTTCCATGAATGAGTAGTACAGAGTTATTATTTTCTAACAGCAGAATCTTTAATAGCTATATTCACAAAAGGATGGGAAAAAATAACTCAGATCTTATTTTCCTGCCAGAGGCTGCAGAACAGACAATAAGGAAAAAAAAAAAAAGTTTTTGCCTCAAAAACTAAATGTATTTGAAGTTTCTGAGAACACAGAGGAACATGAAATCCAACATAATTTTTAGAGTCACTTTCTTGACAGATCCTCCAAACCAACTTTTAAAACAAATGTTTGTTTCAGAATAACAACCAGCTTCACTGCCAAGAGCAAACCATGGCTTGATGTATTTACCCCATAGACTTCCAGCAGCTTATCATTAAGTTGACTGAGACATTCTTCAGCAGTCATATAGTGATATTTAGCATTATTTACTCTGTGGTTTGGGCTGTTACATAATGCAGCTCCTGGCCCATTCAGTCTGGCATCTGCAATAAAGAAATCAAAGTACAGCAACCATTGAAAAGATGGTATTAAACATATCTGATAAATAGCACAGGAATGTAACATAAACAAAACAAGAAACCCTGCAATCGTGCTGTTTACAGCCCAAACATGACAAAGTCCAATAGCTGTATGCAGGGTTAGTGGTGGTCACCCGATTTACAGTAATGGCCTCAGATGCTGTAGTTTTCCCAGCACAAGGAAGAAGATAATCTGAGCTGAAGAAAGCACAGCTGAGACAAGGTCTTCTTCTTTTGCTTTAGTCTTCTCTGGTGCCTGGTTGCTTTGAGGAAGAGAAGTATCAGACTGGAGGAGAAAAGGAGCACTGTGAAAGCCATGACTTGCTGTCATACTGCCTGTCTGTCTCAGATAGGGAACACAGGAGCTGCAGACAGTGTCAGAGAAAGTAATTTGTTACATCTCTGACTGTGTAGCACAACCACTGCGTGCTAGACCATCTCCCCTGGAGCAATTCTATCCTAGCTAAGCCTCCTCTGGTTTGAACTGATGTGAGCTATTTCAGGAGATCTGCTATCAAAACACTCCTGACTTTACAGAGCATCACTCCTGAAACTATTTTGCCTGATGTTCTGTTCTGGCAAGACTCAGTCCTGCACAAACAGCACCTTCATATTGTCACAAGTTTATTATCCCACACCCAGCAGGATCAGGAAAGGGCAACAGCCAGCTTCCCAGCAGGGCACCCATGTACTTCCAGTCCTGAAGGGCTAAGGTACTTTAAGCCCATAGAAAAGCTATTTTGGTCACTGTTCCAGATCTGATTCCTTCTGCTCATTGTGCAGTGACACTCTAGGAACCTATTTTGCCTTGCTTTTAGGGAAAAAGAGACTAAGCATCTTTTGTAGCTTCTTGAGCATTTCAGATTTTTTTCTGCAACATATGAGCCATATAGAGGAATAAAGTAATTCAAGCTAGATTTTAAAATGGGAAAAACTTGCAGAGAAAAATGTACACACTGACATTTCAGAACACTCTACTCCTGATTGATAAGAAAAATGCTAAGTTAATGGTCTGTTCTAAGGGAATGTTTCTTTTCTTTTTAAAAGATTTACATACACTGACACACAAGAGGCTGTACAACTACCCTCAAGAATCACCAAATAGTACTCACTGCATCATTTTAACTTCTCCTGATTTTACCCTTTAAATCCGAGTCCTCCCTGCAGACATGCACTGTCCTTTCCTTTTTCCAATTCCAGTTTCTATTGAAGTCTAGTCAAGAAAATTTGTACTTGTGTTATCTTCCGCTAAAGCTTAGAAGGAAAAAAATCAGGTCTCTTTTTCTGCAACTACAGACCACCCTCCACCCCAGTGAATCACAAATCATTGAAAAATAAAAGTTAGGAGGGTTTTTCTTTGCCTTCTGGTTTCTGAGACTTACTTTATGTTAAATGTGGGTCACACTTCCTTCTACAGCTATGAGATATAATAATGTATGGAAAGGAAAGCTGCGATTCTAATAATTGGCAAAAGTAAAGACTTTAAATACAGACAAAACACTGTTGATTCTTGATTTAAATCAAAGAGTTGGCATACTCATTTCCCCCGAGGTTAACCTGTTTCAAACATCTTTTATTAAGCTACTGGATGAAGGCACACATATTTTGGTGAACAGATGATTAGTTGGCTATATTCACAAGCTTCTAAACTTCTAGGCCTGAATTAAGAAAAACCTGAATATTATGACAGCCAGCCACAAGTCACCTCTCCTTCTTGTCTTAGTTCTAAAAGAGAAATAATGACAGCAGAAAATAATAGTAGCAGTGGGAAAAAAAAGTAAATGCGTACCTCTGAGAAAAATAACAGAGGCATAATAAGGAAGTTAAACCAGGCCTTGAATCCAATGACAAAACTGCCGCTGACTTCAGTGGCATCAGAATTTTACCCACAAAATCTACACTTAGAGTGTAAGTATAAAAGAAATGAGAAATGAATAATTACTTACTAGCTTTAGTCTGCACTTAGGGTTCCACCTAAGAAATCAGTTCAGATTTCATGAGCTTAATTCTTAAGAGTTGAAAATCAAAACCCTTATGTAAAATTCCTTGACATCAGTGATGGGGTAAGGCAAGTGGCTGAGGTGAAAAAATGTGCTCCTGAATTATGAATATATTCCTCTGGTATTCATTCCTCAGCAACAGTAAATCAATGAAGAGCACATCCTCATTATATGGGTGGACAACACATCTATATCTACACAAACAGTAAACCTTGCCCCCTCACTAGGGTTCTTGATACTCTAATAAAAAACTATCAATTACATTATAGATAACCACATTTCAGCATTCTCTAGTCCCTTAACAGCTCTAACATCTGAAAGCAGCACTTTAAATTAAAACCATAAACCAATAAATAACCAGATCACACCACAGAGCTCCAGTTGTATATACTGCCACTAAAACTCATCACTAATGTCCTACTAACAGATCTTTCTTGCCTGAAGGGAGTAGTTACTTGTTGTCTTCCAGCTTTTTACACAGAATAGAAAAAGTTGCTGGACATCACTACTATAAAATCATCCACTGTAATTTAGGATACAACGTAATTCCAAGACTGTGAATAAGAGTTAGAAATGCAGAGGACAAGGATCTACTCAAGGCAGAGCATTTGGTCAGCTACATTTTGCAACCTGTTAGTGACAACTCCATGGCACCTAGCTGTGGACCTTTAGTTCATTCGCATCCCACATGTTCCAGTTTCACTCTTGTCCAGAGTTAGATACTCTGCAGCTCAGCTGGATCAGGAGTCAAAGAACTACAGACAGGACGGTCATCCACGTGCTAAAAATTCATATCACTGATCTCTTCCTAATTTCACCAATAGCCTTTCCTTGAAAGAGAAAAGTTCTGGATCCCCCAGGAAAGGTTTGTTTCATGCTTTATTGCTGTTAAAATTCCTTTACCTTCCAGTATTGCCACAAAATCCAGATAATTCAACCCTCCATCTGGTAACCCCAGTTTTTCTGTTAGATTACATCCACTGTCATCCACTGTCATGCCATGATTTTCCAACACCTGTTAGAAGAGAAATAAAGTAAGTTATATAATGGCCTATTTTCTTTCTTAATATGCCACTGAATACTAAAAATCTGAGTGTTTTATCATATGGCTCAACTTGAAATTACTCCGAAAATTCATCTCTCTTCCTTACATTTATAAAGCCATTTAAATACAGAGCTATTCTGTACAACTTCAGTTCTATACAGAGAGAGACAGAGAGCAAAATTTGACTATATTTTTGAGACTGGCATTTTAAGTAAAAGCATCAAGTGACAGGCTAAGATTAAACTTCACCTGGAAAGTAAAAAGTGCCAGAAGTAATGACGTTAGCTCATTGATCAGACTGGAGGAAAACTGTCATTTGTAGAATTTGCTGCTACCACTTTTCCCCACAAGCCTGCTACAACTACCTCCTGGATAAGAAATGTTGCAGCATGGATTCAGGCCCCTGAAACACATACAGCTGCAGCAAGGTGGAAGGCATGTCTCCTTCTGCACTGCTGCTCTTCAAAGCAGATTTGGGGATCCATTTTAGGTAATCCACTTGGGCAAGGAACTTTCTGATCTTCCTACATTCCTCTTCTGTCTCCTCCTCTTTTTTTTTTTTTTTTTTTTGCAGACCCTATACCTCTGTGCATCTAAGAGGTGCAGCAGTCCAGGTGGCAGCAGTCTCCCATTGAACCCCTCTTAATGTTACCTGGCAGTTGACTGTGGAGGGTTCCCTAGTTTTCTTCTACTTTTACCGCCTCCTGTTTCCCTGAAAAGTAGTTTCAGTCCCTGCTGATGCTGAGGGCTTTCTCCAAAAACCTTTCATTTCCTTCAGCTGCTTTGTAACTCGCAATTTGGATGCATTTCTTTATAACTATCCTGCATAGCTCTGTCCTAACTCTCCAAGTGTTCCTACAGCAATTACTTTTGCCATTATATTTTAGTTAATTTTACAGATTAAAAGAAAAAAAAATATCATTAAATAGCTAAACAGCAAAAGGAGTGTTAAAAAAGTGAGAATAATTAGCAAATTATCATTCCTTTCTATGAATATAAAGCTTCTGGATAAGCAAGCACATTTTAAGTTCAGTTGAACAAGTATTTACCATCAGATCAAATGCTTAATAGTAGCGATAAGGAAATCTGGCCGCACAAATCCAATCAAAGCTGAAGAGAATCAGTCACAATAGTAATGTTGGTGAATACAGACTCAACTATTAGCACTTTCATCTAGAGGAAAAAAAGTGATAAAACTCTACCAAAATGGCACACAAGATTAAGTCAGATTAAATTGTATGACTAGGTCATTGTCCTGTGCTGAATGGCTCACAAAAGTCATAGTTTCTAAGTCCTATTTAAAGGAAGAGGATTGATGACAACCTTATATGGAGGGAATATTGTAATCCTTCAAGAAAGTGAATGCACACATACAAATTGTGGATGTTACACCAGGACCCCTGACAGAGCTTCAGTTACCAGCTTCTTGATTTTGAGCTATATTAACAATTACATAAGCCCAAAGGTGCAAAGGCAGGGTCTATGCCTACTTGCCCAGTTCCTAGGAGAGTCAGGCTAATGACGCCAGAGGTACTACGTTACTCTTTGGTAAAGGAGGTGGAGTTTGGCATCCCCGCTTCACTAACCCGCCTCACATCTTTGGTACTCCACAGACAAGCAGCTAAAAGCTGTCCTTGTGCTGTAAGCTGTAAAGAAAAACACAGAAAACTGGCAATGTTGTTATAACCCTGCAAAGGTTAACTGGTGATTCTATGTCTGCATTTTGGGGTTATTCAGGCATACCAGAATCAATTATCTTTCAGAGAAGGGTGCATTCTGCCCGCTCCCTTAATGCCACTGTAACATAATGTTATACAAATAAACAGAGCTTATCCACTTCCAAGTTGGACAGACAGCTTTTGCTTGCTTCTATGGCTTGACCTGGGATAACAAATCAGAAAACAAGTATGCTTTTATGTTTACCACTACCCCACTTTGCTATTACTGTTTGAGTAACCTATTCTACCTCTGAGGACAAGCAATTCTGTCCAGCTGTACCCTAGCTGCCTGTCTGCTCTAAATGAAGTTGTAGATCAGAGGAGCAGTTTCAAACATGCCACTAAGGTGGGCAATGGTGTTGGCACACCTGCCCAGCTACAGAGTCAGGATCCAGTCAAGAACAGCATACCACTGTAGGTCACTTTAACTTCAGTGGCACCCCAAAATGCCTTACAACCTACCCACCTATATGCACTTGGCACATGTCGTATCACCTACACCATTTGTGATAACCTAATATATCCAAAAAGTCTATATGCAGCTGGCAGATGTGATACAGAGAGTTCTACATCCTTCTGAAGCAGCACTTGGAGGCCAGGGAAGATTCCCCACAATGCCTACAATGGATCCAGACACCCATTTCTACATGTTCTTTACCCACCACTGAAACTCCATGAGCTGTGGGATGAAAAGCAGCCGTGATCCCAGGGCAGAAACCAATGAACACCTTGGTAGAAGCGTCAGGGAAATTAGAGCAGGAAGAAGGCAAAAACTCCCAGTTGGAATTCTACCTAGACAATGAGGTGGAAAAACCTTTTATTTTCCAAAAGGTGCAGAGACCTTTAAAGACCACAAGAAATGGAGAACCAGTTTCAGACTTCATTTCACCTGAAAACACACATGGCCAAGCAGTTCCCAGAGACATAAGGTAGTCTGTCACTTCAGTCCTGATGAGTAATCCCTTGTAATCACCCTTATTTGCACAGAGCTCTCAATCTCACTCATTCCAGGGTAGGCTTATTTCACTCAGCACAAGGCAGGGCAGAACAGGACTATTGAAGGGAAGCATGTCCCTTTTGAATGATTGTAATCAGCAGCAGCAGGGAAGCAGAGTTTCGGGGCAGTATTCTACCCAGATGGACTCTGCTGAGCTTGCAGGGTCCAAGAACATCACAGTGCATTGATGTATGCACCTGGCTGCAGGTACATTTTTTTTATCCTTTGTGCATTGCCAAAACTTGAGAAATGCATCATCCGTAGTGTAATAAAAGAACAATGAAATCACAAAGACTAACTGTTCAATAGCTTCTGGTGCTATACAAATATCTTAAATGTGAGTTGTACAGAGACAGCCAACACAGAAGAAAAAGCAGCAGGTAGAATGAGTTTGTTCTGCTAACAGTGACAAGACACACATTACTGCATTAGCTGCAGGCAACATATAAGCCTCTTAGGTATCACATTGTAGTGTAAATTGCAACAACCAAAGCCAGTGTCCCAAAGGTACATGCCACAGATGTCAGATCTGTATGGGAGGAAGGGTTGCAGCTTAACACATTCGTAATAAGTGTGTTATTAACAAGAAAATATTAAGAAAAATAGAAAATGTTTTATGCGTTTCGTCCTCCCTCTTTCCCTCCCCTTCATTTCAAAGCAGTGTCACTTCCTGGACAAAGCTGCAGAAAGATATCCACCTGAGGGTAAGAACATGTGCAGCTGAATGCAGCTATCGCGTTCATGGGGGAAGGGTCTGTAGTAACAGCCTTGGTCCTGTCGTAGGATGCGGAGCACATACCTCATGGGTCTGTGCTGGGAAGGGGAGGAAGGGAGGCAACAGCCTGACACCCCCTCACAGTCAGTACATTTGGCCCTGCAGCAGTAGCTGGCAAAAAACATGTACAGTCCAGGGTACATGGGTGGGAAGTCGATGTTTATTACTGAACCAGAATAAAACCGGATTGGAACAACTTTCTCAAGGGACTACACAGGCCATTTTCAAAGGTACAGTTCTGGTTTGACCCTTGATTCTCGCCTTTAGCTCCTGGAAAAAGGGCAGAGCATGCATTACTGCCATAACACTATTCAGCAGCAGCTCTTGTTTATACCTAGGTGGACTAGGGAAATATTACTGCCATCATGTTTCTTTTCCTCCCCAGTCTCAGCTTTCAGCAAAGCATTTTGCTTTAAAATGTGAAAAGAAATAAATGTACAGCTAGGTGCTATCAGCATCACATGTACAGTCCTAAATCCATGACCTCACAAGTCTGTCCAAAGCACAACATGCAGTCAGATAAGCCATCAAGGCTGCCATGGGCCCTGGGAACACCACAGAAAACCCTACCTCAAAAAAGACACAGACAAAATTCAGCTGGAAGTCTTGGCAAGTAAAAACTATGCAATGTCGATACATTCATATTATTGTGGATCCTCTCACCACTGGGATGCTGTACCCAAATCAGCTAAACCAGTATCAAAAACCACCCAACATCAAATAATTTTACTGGAAATTTACAACATTATCAAATCCACTGAATTCAAATAAGAGCTACAGAACAGTTCTCCTCTCTTGTTGGGGACCAGCCTATGCCCCAAAATGGTACTAGACATCTGGAGATTTCCCTGACACAGTCACTGCAGGCTCCTTTGACAGTAGAGCAAGAGTGAGCAAGGAAGAGAAGTGGGGACCCCAGGGGGTGTCTCCTGAGTCCCATCATGATTACAAGGCGCATCGCAGTCCAAGACTGGTTCAGAGGAAGATGAGGCTCAGAAATCTGAAAGATGGTATAAAATTAGCTTAGGTCATTCTCCTCAAAGTGTCATGCTCTATCTGTTAAGATTCTTGTTCTTCACCTACCTATATCCAGTTCCTACCACTGTGGAGTTGCAAAGAGGGCTTAAGGACTCTCAGTCTTAGGCTTAGGTGATTCTTCACCGTATGCCCACTCACTTTGCATAAGAGGTGTGCTGTTGGTTGACACTAGACCTTCAAGGCCCAACTGTGTCTTGTCAGTCCCAATTCATACATATGCTTCTTGACTGGAAGCAGTTGAAGCTTTCAAGGTATAGTGTTGCTACAGGAAGACAACTGTATGTCTTTAAAGACAAGATGATATTCTTTCTCATACAATAACCTGCATGGGACCTGTTTAGCTCATCCGTAACTGAAACAGTCCTGGAGGATTTAACCCTAGCTGTGGGAGCAGGCACATTGCTAAAACGATAAGTATCTTTCTGGGAAAAGTACAGGAGAGAGAAAAATACCTAATATTTTTCCTACCTTCGCAAGCCAGCTTTATTAATTTTCCTATGTGATTTCTTATTGTAGGCAAAAAAGCTGTCTTTAATAGTTGCTGCCTGTTGTATCTCACTGTCCTTCAGCCTTTTAATTACTTCGTCAACAGATCTATTCCAGGCATATTTGTCAGCTTGATCTTCAATCTGCTTGATTCTAAAAATGAAAGATTGTACATGAAGGCAAGTCACTTATTTTTTGTAGTTTCAAACATTTGATTCAGCAATAATGAACAAGACTGCTTTAATGACAAACAAGACATAGACATAGAAGAAGCTTCTTTGATGCAAACCAAAATGACAGGTTGATCAAGTTAGAGCAATCATTAATTCCAAGGCCTATATTGTGCAAATATTTCTTATGTATAGATTGCTTTACAGAAAAAAAAAAAGAAAAAGAAAAAGACTGATACTGCTCTAAAATATATATATTTTTTTTCCAAATTGAGATCCCAAACCTCCAGATCACAGGCTTAGTTTCTAATGAGCCCAAGTTTCTACATCAGCTAAGGAGCCACCTTCATTCTTTAATACCTCCTCAGTTAACATGAGACGGCTAAGCTAACACGAAAGAAGTTAATGAAAATATTTCCATTGGTTTTAAAAGGAAAAAAATATCTCCTATGATGTTTTCTGTCTTCCTGGATTCTAAGTATATCATTTCCATGCTGTTTCCCTTTGGAGGAATGGCCAGAATACCTTTCTTTCTCAGGTCCCATAAGAAAGTACATAGATATGGGCTATATAATCTTGTTGCTGAAATACCACAACCTTCATCAATAAGCCATTAAAATAAATAACAATTAAATATTTAATAACTTTTAAAGACAGAAAATAAATTAAAGTAAAGGGTATGTAATGTGTCCCGCTTGTACCTATTTCACATCTATTAGGGATTTACTATAACCCATGAAAAGGAAAGTTAGAACAATTATTTTTGTTAAATTTTAGAGCATGTATTTCCATATAAGCAAAATGCAGAATTATTAAGCACTCTTATTTTATAGAATTATTAACTCTGTTTTATAGTATTCCGTAAACTTGAAGATAACACTCTAACTCTTATTCTCAAAATATGCTAATGAAAAGAGTTTTACTTTGATCTGAGCAGCACACAAGATTAACTCTAAGCCTCCCAAAAGGGATCCAAAGATGACAGTGACTGGTGACTCCCTCCTGATGATCTCAGATGGACTCATCTGCTGAAGGCACCTAGTCTCCTGAGATATCTGTTATCCTGCCTAAATGCAAGAGGTTGCCAAAGCATTACCAACTTTACCTGTCCCATCCCAGTGATTATTATATTCTCCTGCCTATCAACATAGACCTTGCCATGAATGACCCTGAGAAAATGTAAAAGTAATTACAGGACAGGCGATGAAGTTAAACTCAAATGTTCTTTTTACCCTTCCTCCTTATTGAAGTTCAAAACTGAGGCAAAGGCTGGATGCGTCCTGGAAATAAATGAATGATTACTTGCAGGATGTGATCTAAAAGACCACATTCCCTGTCAGGGACTTATTCATGAGAAGCTCTCTTTACCTACTAGCTTTATAACCTGTCGAATAAAGGAGCTGACATAAAAGCGCACAGTCACTTAGCTGAGGACCTAAACCTGCTTGTATAGGGTTCTACATTACAGGGTCATAGAAGAGACAAAACCAGACAGAAGGGATCAAGCATGCTGGTTGTCGGTACATGAATATAAGAAATGTGGTATAAAGAAAGGGAGCTGGAAGTCTTTATAGTTCTTGGAGGATCTTAGAATCATACAGTTCGGTAAATTAAACCCTATTTAGAGTCCTACTGATAAAAACCTATGAGAATAAGAGTGCTACAATGGTAGCATGCCTAGGTAGGCATCATGCCTAGGTAGGATTCCCCAACAGGGAAAACCGGATTTGGATTTGAAGTTCTTTGAGCTTTTTTTTTTTTCCTGAGGGAAAAAAAAAAAAAACAAAAAAAAAACCAAAAAAAAACAAGCAAAATCATCCAGGGTAAAAGAGCTGGTTATAATTGGTTGGGCAAGATTACAGCAGAACACAAGTTGTCCAGCAAATTATCAGAATGTGTCAGTGACATCCTGTTGATGCTGCAAAATCTAGTGAAGGGAAAGTCTTTCTAAATTTTATCCTAATTAACACAGAGAAACTGCTTGAAAAGGTGAAATACAGCTTAGGCAGGAATGATGATGAAATGACAGAGTTTATGACACTGGTAAAAGGCAGAAGAATAGTGAAAAAAAGTAAATTTCTACCTTCTCAAGGAACATAAGTGTCACGGGAACTGGGTCTAATGGGAAAATAACATGCCATTACACTATAAGAAGGAAGCATGAGTACATACGAACAAAATCTGAAAAGCCACAACACAACATGAGATTCAATATCAAAAACATCAAGAGTAATGAGAACTCATTCTCTAAATGCTTCAGTAATATAAGAGGGATCAAGAAAAAAAATTTGGCTTTCTATTCAACATAGAAAGAAAACTATCAACAGATTGCATTAAGGGGATGAGGCACTTAAAGCCTCTTTGTATCTTCAATAAAGAGTCAAATACAAGCAGGCTGCTTGAACAATCAATACTAATAACAAGTAAGGAAATAACAAATTACAGAATACTTCTATGTATTCATATTAGTTCTTAAAGAACTGGCTAAAATTGTCTCCCAAATTTATGCAGAAAAGCAAACACACTACCTAGCTTTAAAAACAGGGAAGGAGGAGAACTGGAGAGTTACTGACATATTTCTAAGAAATCTATTCCTGCTTTCAGGCAGTAATTACAAAGTCACAAAGAGTTCAAAGCCTGTAAAGAGACACAAGAGCCACTAGGGATCCTTGAGATCTACCCTGATTTCAGGCAAGCTTATATTTTAAACTATACTCCCCTCCAACTAGCACCACTTTTACCTTGGTTTCCTAAGGAAATAAGAATAATGCAATCAGCCTTTTCATCCACATCTGCCAGTCTTTTCCCTAAGTTTGGATTCCATCTACCTATTTCAGTCAAACCTGAGAGGCGTAGGGGTCTTCAGATATATAGCAGTTACAAGTTTTGTGAAATTGAAGTCATGAAAAGGAGAGACACTCTTCATTCTCTGAGCTGGGAAGGTAGGGACGTTATCTTTTCCATTTGTTAGCAGCTAGCCAAGCAATCAGCATATGTGCTTCTCTGGGCTATCCATGTACTGCCTCCTGCCCAGCTGCCAGACTGAAGTTCTCAGTGAGAAGTATGTTCTTTTTCTACCTTCAAGTAGTGAGCCACAAGTACATTCACTGTGTGAGACACCAAACCTTACTCCTGCACATTCCCATCTCACTGGGGCTAGGTGTCAAAATTCTTCATTCAGGCCTGACAAACCTAACCTATCCATGTACTCTAACAGTTCTCTACTATACTACTCAGTTATGGGTGCCAGAATGCTTGCTGAAGGTACGGATAAAGTTCCAGATGGTGGCTCAGCAGAAGTTAGGGACAGAGTTATTTATTAGTGAGGCCACTGATTTATCTTGAGTTTAGTGTACTGTGTCCTGTTGACAGAATTGTATTCCATGTTGGTGAGTCATCTGCATTTTTTTTTTATCTTGCCAACTCTACACTTTGATAGCTTTTCAGTAGAAATGGCATTGGACCTCAGTAAAAATAACTTTGGGAAATTTCTGAAGGATCTTGGATAATCTTGCAATGTGGCTGCAGTAACACTCTGTTCCCAAAAAATACTGCATAGAAAGAGCCAACCATAAGGTCTTAGGTACTTCCTAGAGTCTCACAAAAGCAAATTAGGAAAGAATTTGGTAGACAAAGGCAGTCTGCTAAAATTTCTGAGGATTAAGATGAAGGCCACTGTGGAACAGGATCTTTCACAGGTAGGGATACGTTAACCACCCCAACCTGTTAAAGAACTTGTAGGTGGAAAGATGTGGAAATATCAAGATTCCAACTCTTGCAGACCATTGGTCCAAAATCACCATTTTGGTAAGAAAGAGTCGAGGCTTGCTTTCCTAGAGATTTCATGTAATGTATCTTTTCCATTCATGGTCATGAATTCTCACTAACGAAAGGAGCAGACATAATTTGACAAATGAGGACTGCACAGCAGCCATTATATAACAAGGAAAGAGGTAACATTAAGATTCATAAGAATACTGAACTTTCATTTTAGCAGTTTCAGGAGGAGGGACAGAAGCCTTGAACTCCGGGCTAGGAGGTTAAGAAGGTGTTGGCACCAGAATTGACTTGGCCACCACAGAACATCACTAGGACAAGAGGCACTAAAGGGAAGATATAAACCACTGCTTATACTTAGAGCAACTCATCTGACATAGCTCCAAGACACTGACCAATTCAGAAACTCAACAGCCAAAGGTTTTGTTTAAAACTTGTCAGAATGCCTAAACCATTCTTGTCAATGACATAAATAGGTCAGCCTTGGTATGTTTACAGCATGGTCCCAGCTTTCTGAACAAGGGACTGACTCACTCCTGTGCGGGCCTGACATGGTAAAATGACTCAGGCCTTGTGCCGGAGAACTTGTCTCACATGAACTGCTGTCAGGTAGCCAGGTAACTCCTCCAAACAGTTGGCATCCTCCCAACAGCTAGCGACTGACCACGCTGTATAAAGCAGTTCAAAAGCCTCATAGCCAATAGTCACCTTGGCAAGAAGGTAAAGGAGATTGTGGTCTTTTTAAAAATATCCCAAAAGAATTGTATCATCCCAAGACCTTGCTAGGAGAGACAGAAGGATGCCTCAGTGCCTGAGAGGCCTTCAGAAGATGGATAGCACACTCCTCCTCTTCTTTGCCTTTCTGCAGCAGAGCTTGGCGAAGAGTGGTGAGTGAAGTCTGGTGAGTGCAAGCTGTCCTTCAGCAGGGTCCTTTGGCAGGCACCTGATTCCTCATATTGCCGATCTGAATGACAAATATCCACTGCAAATTTCTGCATGTCCATGACAGAAACGTGAAGGTCCTGGTGGGCCTACAAACCATTTTATGAGAACTTTGCTGCAGGTTGCACTGAGCGGCACTGAAACTAGTATTCAGGGTCATTGCTCCGAGGCCATTGTTTATACCTATGTTTGGTGTCCCTGCAACACATTTGTGTTGAAAATTGCGTAGAGATCCTGTGGGAAAGCTCAGAGACAACAGAACAGAGACAACAGGAATGGGCTTTTTCAGCCATAGGAATAAGCTGCCAGTTCTGATGTGTGAATGCACAGACAAGGCAATCCCTAAAGCTGCTCTCAAGGGGATTCAGATGGGGACTTAAACACAAAAAGATCAGATTGTTGGAGATGAAACAAAGAAGTCTGAGGAGAATCTGGGGCAATGCATAGGGCATTCTGTTTTATGGAATACCAGTCTAAAAACGAGGGAAGGTAGGCAGTGAGCAGGCCTCCATGGACATAAAGCACTATCTGGGTTCGAGTAAAAGGAAATACGTGTTTCAGGTCTGATTGTACATGTAAATCAACATGCAAATATAAGAAAAAAAATATTTTTAGGAGAAGCTCATCACATTTCAAGGGAAAGTTTGTTGTTTCCCCCCACACATTATTCAGGTATTTACATATATTCATAAGTAAAAATCGAGGAAAATCAATAACTCATACATCTTTACAACCTGGATGCCAATATCAATGATGCTGATTCAGTTGGAGGCTGTAGCTACGGTCTGTAGTAGTCACAGTCATCGGATGTGCCAGAGTTCCTGATCCTCTGAGGATGTTTAAATCCAGTTCCTGAATAATGAGCCACACTCATTCTGCAGAGGATCACAAGCTTACTCTTCAGACATTATCTAGAGGGCAAAACCTCAATTTTTGAATGATGCAGTGAGATATAATCCTTGTGGACCCTGTAAAGTGAGCTCAACCATTTTTATCTGAATCCTAGACGCTTTGATGAATGATCCATGTGTGTTTGCTCTCCTGATGCATTGCTCTGAGTGTTGTATGATTTTGAATATATCTCTGTGAAATGAGAGATCAGCCCAGGACTGTACTTACCATTAGAAAAACAGCATGTATCCACAGTCTATCTGAAAGTCTCCTTTCTATACATATTTTTTCTTTACATTAAATAGAAAATTTTCTGTAATAACAGTGCCTTTTTGAAAGCTCTGTTTGCCTTTTCTGTTCTCTCTGTTGTTTTTCCTTTGATATATGTGAGCTGACATCATTTAAGTCACCAGAAAGAACAGCAACTTTTAAGTTATCCAAAAGCATCTTGTAAAAGATTCCATCAGAAGAGCTGTCCTTATATTTATAGCATAACCTGGATAAAATAAGTATTTAAAATAATTTGGGAGGTTGAGAACAATGCATAATACAAGTACCTTAAGGCAAAGATGATCAAAGTAACACATTTCCTTTCCATATACAGTTAAGGGCATTATTCAGAAGGCTATCCTTCAGCACTGGAAACTAGCCTTCCCAGGCTCCTCCTTCTGTAGCCTACAGAGAAAGCAGGAACCTAACTTAAACACTGTATCATTACCTAGAAGAGCTCCACTGACTCTAAAAGGAGCCTAAAGACACAAGCCTCCCCCACCTACAGTTACCCTTTGTGAATACCCTGCGTAATTAAAGCTTGAATTATATGGTGGAGACTTGGAAGAAACCTGGCTCACCCGACACTGACCTGTTGAATTGAGCTGCATTGATGGAAGAGGGAGCTAAGATTACAGCCACTGCACAACTAAATCTGTCAGAAATCACGAATGAAAGCCCTTGTTTACCTTAACTTGCTGCCTAGCATAAGAATATAAAATAAAATCACTAGTGGTCTAAGTTAATATTCCTGGATGTGAACTTTCTCAGCCCAGGAACAGACACACTGTTTGTTCAGCCCCTTCTGTTATTCTGAGGGTAACTTCCAGTGAAGAGGTCGAGTCGGTAGTTCTCTGAGCCTGTTAAATTACCCTCTTAAATCATTCCTATATAAATTAGCAGAGCTCATGAATCAGAACCCTTGTCATCACTGTGCTGCTGCTTCACTGAGCTGTTCAGCCTTCCAGGATTTCATTCATGTTGGTAAAGCTTTGGGGCATTCCTGGATGAAAGCAGAAAGCTCCTGTCCTTGTGCTGGGGACACACGGCATTCTCTGCACTCCATTTATTCCACGTGCCTGTTCTATTTAGAATGACACTAAAAAAAATACCTGTGGTAAAGAACATTTGTAACTTACCATACCAAGTGCTTCAATGCCTTGCTTCTGTGGGGAAAAAAAAAAAAAAAAAAAGGGGGGGGTGGGGGAAGAAGAAGAAATCAAAGCTTTATTTTCTTTTGAGAAATCTAATCCACGCCATATATACTGCAGGGGAGAAAGTGTCAGGGAGGTGACAGGAAGGGAAAAGAGTCTCCATTTTCTAGTAACAGTGAAGCTCTACTCAGCTAAAACAAGTGTAGCCTTCACACAGAAAATGGCTGTGAACACTACAGAGCAACATCTGCTTTGTGAGTGTAATCCATAAAAGGCTTCCAAATGCCCTTAAAAATTGTTCCCTCTTTTCCCCAGTCTGAATGTCATCTCACAGGAAGCCATCTGGGACAGGCATTCCAGCTATTCTGCTGCAGCGATAGCAGTATTGTCCTCAAGTGCCTCAGGATGAGTCACATCAATGCAAAAGTCCAATTATAGTAGAAGCCCCCCAAAGCAGAAGTATCATTTCAAATAAATAAGACTGATGTAGCTGAACCACTGGAATTCAGAACGTAATTCAGTCACTTCATCACCTTTTGCTCAAAAACTCTGCATTCCTTAAAGCACCCGTGCTAAATCCCCAATCTGGTTATGGCATTCCCAGCACAGATGTGATAGTCTTAAGACCAGTGTGTATGCATTTAGAGGAGTCAATTACTTTTTCTTTTTTTTTTTTTTTTTTTTTTTTTTTTCTTATTATTTTAAAATACAGCCTTTTAAAACCTGGCATTTCTTGCCACTTTAGAGCAACGAATGAACAGTGCCATCCACTGTTTCTCTGCATAATCCACTATGTTTTCCTAGGATAGTTTTAAATAAGATTTAACATAAAAATTAATGCCACATCTGAAACAAAGGAATATAGATTGCTAAAAACATGTGAGTCAAAACATATTTTTAAGGAGTCAGGCTAAATCACAGAATGACAACTCTAAAAGTAGCATACAACAGAGGAGATTTTCTAAAATATCACCTCACCTGTGGATGAGCCATTTTAACTTCATTAGCTATATTGTTACTCAAATATCCTAAAACCAAATACTTGTCCAATCAAGCAGGTTATCTCTTGCATTGCTGAGTATAATTTCCCTCTTCATCTTATTATAAGAATTACATTTCTTCTCCAGTGTGGTCATCAGCTCTCTAGAACATGACCCTGATGAGTGATGCTGCTAAGAACAAGTGCCTTTAGAAATGTTTACTACAGAAGAATTAATAATATGGTGTGAATGAGACCCTGTTTTCATGGAGTGAACATTGCCAGTGCAAGACTATATGCCCCTGAATGTCTCCAACAATGGAATCCAAACATTTTCTTTTAGATGCATGTTTTAGATGCTATTCCTATAAAAAGACTCTAAACTCATCCCATATATGGTGTTGCATATCTCGCTTTGTTAAACACAGATACTTCACTTTTCAAGTGTCACAGTTCAATAATGCAAATATGCAAATATGCTCGATATTTGCCATAACAGAAATCCTAAAAGTACTATACCCACTTCTTCCTGTGCTTTGTTAGAACACAACCTCAGTGTTCAGCATTTTGCCAGACTGATCTCAAAAGGCTTATCTTGCATCCTTTTGAAACAAAAGCAAAACAGCCATTGACCACAATGATGAATGAATTAAACCTTAACAGTTTGCCTCCCACTACTTTACTCTATATCATTTTCTTGTAGGAATTGTTTAGAATTTCAAGTAAAGACCACTTTACAATACAAAGTGGCTGTAATTCCTGAATTTTCTTATAGTACAGATCTCTCTCATTGACACAAATAATGGTAGAAACATTATTTAGAAAATTGTGTAACTGCTGAGCCCCAGGTAATTCAAAGGATAATTACTTGTTCATGATCAATGACCACTAATTATATACTATACAACACAGAGCTATAAAACTGACAGATGATGAAAGCATATAGTTACAGCACACTGTGCTGGGAACATGACTTTTATGAACCCAATGCATAGCACCCAAAGTTTTCTCTAAGACATTTATAGAAAGGAAAATGCCTACAGTAGAATTGGTTTTACTGATCATACTCATGCTCATTCATATTTCAGGATCAAAGATTATTTTCCAAAAGCCATTTCCTATTGATGCTGTTGTGTTTGCTCCTCACACACAATGATCAGCAGGACACTCGGTTGTAAGGGTCAGACTGGAACTGATTTCTTTGATTTTCCTATTATGTTTTCAAAGGTAGGAAAGAATTCCACATCATTCTGAAAGTCACTGGCTGTAAGCAGAGAAAACTAGAGCTCCTGAGAGAGTCGATTAGACCTGATTATAACCTGACTGAAATGTTATTGCAACAAAATGCCTAATACAATTCCCTCTTCTTTGGACGTAGATATTTTGACCCCATGTTCTCCATGCTTGTAGCTCTTCTGACTCCCCACTTTCGGGAGCCTGCTCATATTGAAAATGAGATTTCATGTTGGCAATATTAAATTTCAATTCCTTGTTCTTTACAACAATAGTCTACTGAGGAAAGACATAACATTAATTTAATTAATTTTGTATTACTCTGTGCTTGGAAATACTAAATAATGTTAGATAATGTCTTGGATCTCCAGCTTGGATCACTTATTCCTTTGTTGAAAAGGCTTGTCTCACATTTGGAATGCTGAAATAAAATCAAACTCACAAGAGTTTCCAACACGGAATTGTTAAGAAAATAAATAAGGGATTTACAAACTCATCATATGAAGAATGGGGCACCTCTTCCACCAAACTTTTCTTTATGGTTAAGGCAAACCAAAATACTTAATGCTTCCAGGTATAGCTGCCATATTAAAAGACAGGAAGAAAGATATAGTAAGAAAAAACACTACATTAAACCTGTTACAATTCACACATCATCAACTTACTTCATAAATTGTTGATCTGACAAAGAGGGACAACACAGGTGTAGGACTTTTCTTAGATGACTTCTGTTAACAGTGCCAGTACACTTAGGATTATAGGACAGCAAAGCCTTATGAAAATCATTCCAATTTTCTGTGATTTTATCTGAAGGGGTCTCCCCCACCTAACAATTGAATCAATTAGTAATGCAGGAAAGAAAAAAAAAAAAAGCATCCCTGAAGTTAAACTATGATAGCATTAACACATTAAAAAAATGTACTAAAATGACAAATCTAATGTTGGAAGACCAACATTTACTGAAAATCAACTATGTTATCACTTACAGTATTACAAGCTAAAACAAGAAGAGCAGACTTCTTTATTAGGTTTGTTCTATGAAACAAAGTTATGCTCAACTAAAACAGTTTTAGTGTGCTAATTTTGAAACATGATGAAACATCAGGCCCAAAATATACCCTTGAAAATGTTCTGAAAACTGACTGAAAAGTGTCTGGCTGCAAGGAAGCATATACCTCACTTCATAGATCTGCTTCTTTAAGTGACTGAAGAGGCATGTCTACTGAGTGATAACAACACAGAACTTTTGCTGTCTGTTTCTTCTCTCAGACTTGTGAAACAAAATCCACTAGTACTGAATAAATTGCAAGTGGCACTCAACTTACAGCATAATTTGAAGACATTGAGCTTGCACAGGGGAAAATATTGACAAAATCTGGTTTACTGAACCTGCTTTAAGATCCGTCTGTAGTACTAGCAGTTAGAATAAAAGTGGTTTTTACTTCTAAATTCAGTAAGTTAAAAACAAAAAGTTATAAGAAGCAAGAACAGGTTCACATATTGACAATCTGCATAATTGCAGATCTGGCCAAATACTGTACTATGCAAAATTTCAGGTAAAACGAAGGAGGTTGAGATGCCTCTTGGGTTTTCTTAGCTAGCTGTGCACCTAGATTGGTTCCAGGTTCTGGTTCTGGCCATTTCTGCTTTTAAGATTCCTCTGACCAAATAATTTACTAAAGGAATGACAAAAATGAAGAGATTTCTTGAAAAATTTGTCCTCTTTTATTTGTACAACCTGTAATCTGCCTTTTCTACAGTATGAGTCATATTGATGGAGCTGGTGTCACCACTCAGGACACAAAACAAAAGGATTCCCAGACACACAGGCTTCCTTGCAGCTGCTTTTCATCAAGATCTGGGTACAAACTCAGCCACAGTCTAGAACAGACCTACTCCTCTGGGCAGAACCACTCTCCAAGTGTGGAACCACAGCTGCCAGGCTCACATGTAGCTACTGTGCCACTCCTGGTGGTATTTCATCCCAAGATGACAATGTTCTATGATGTTTAACATTTCCTTTACCTGCCTTCCCTCATACTATCATTTACTTCATTTGGGATGCTTATTTTAAATGTCAAAAATGGCTAGTTATCTGTGTACATCTCTAATTTGAGCCTAAGCATCTTAATTTGTAAATCCCACTTGGTGTGCACATCAGTTGCGCATGTAGACACTGTCAGCATTTGCATTTTCTCCAGCATGTTAATTTTACAGCTACTAAAGTTTGCCCCAGAATTTCAGCCAGACCATTATTCTACTCAAAACCAGCTGGAAGGGACTTGAGTTGCTGCATCAAATGTTGCTATTGTTGGAGCCATCAAAGTGGAAAGCAGCCTGTTTCAGCTCCTAACATCAAAGCATTTCAAACCACGCACACCATTCAGAGCTATTCAATGGGACCTTCTTTTTGTGCATCTAGTACCTCTCTTGACACTCCTGCGCTCCTTTGATATCTCTCAAAGCCACTATCCAGACTACCTAAGACAAAGCTAAATATGGAGTTAGTTAGCTGACAAACTAACACAAACCTGAAAGAGAGTTAATATTGAAAATTATTAACAGTTTCTTAATATTAGGAAGTAGATTTGTGAAGTGCAGCTTAGGTTATTGCTTAGAGCAATTTGGTAAGCAAAAAAAGTATCAACTTATTTCTGTCAAAGGAAATGGACGTACTGCACAGAAGCATTGACTGTGAGTTTCAGCACGTAACCTCTCTGTACCTTCAGTGAATGGTTCTAAAGGAAAACATTATAAAATGATTGCAAATTCAGAAGCTGTCAAAGCTGTACCCAGGAAAATATGCAACATCTGTGTAGTACTTAGCATATATTTTATAGCAACGTATAAATATATGCTAAATAATATATAAAGAATAATAGATAAAACAAGAAACAACAAGGTATCAGCAAAACAGATCTGACAAGTGAAAGCTAAGAAGTACTACTACTGTTCCTCCTCTGCTGTACAGGCATGCATGATCTAGTGATCCTGCTGGAGATTTCAAAAACCTCCAGTAACCATGAGATTGCTTTCTGATTGATGCTTCAGAAAACAAAAAGTCTAGAAGTGCTGATTGTGATTATTCCATTGTTGGAATGAATGCAAACATACTAACTTAGACAAAAACTGTATGCATAGCATAACATTTTACCAAAACACAATCCAGCATTTTGCCACAGCCATTATAAAAGAGGTTATAGCTAGAGAATTAAAAGTAAACACTTACTACTGATTCTTTTGCTTCGAACAAGTCTAAAAATTCATGGTAGTCAAGGTATCCTGTCTGTTCTGGATCAATTGTCTCAATTAAATCCTGGAAGTCTTTTTCTTTCAGTTGAAATACCAAGTTATTTAAAACATGATGAAGGTAATTTCTTGTGATCTTTCCATCTTGTTTCTAAGACAAAAAAAAAAAAAAAAAAAAAAAAAAAAAGCATGCATAAAAAAGAACAAACATTTACTAAAGCAATACTGATTCCAACATGCCATTCTGCACTGCTAGATCATCCTGACCTACAGTAACTGAGACCTCTATAGCTGTTTCAATAGCCTGCATATGCTCCAGTTTTCAGTGAACACACAGCTGGAATATTCACTGGATGAAAGACTAAAACTATGGGAATTAAACTATAGTGACTTTTCCGTTACCTTGGGATAGATTATTTAGTTTGCTGGTAAACTGTGCAACAAGTGAACAGATATGTAAACTTGCTTTGCACAGACAAGCTCACATTCAGGTCAGTTTATCAACTACATTTCATTCCTTGCCTGGTCTGGAATCAATATTCACACAAAGTTGTGTCTGACTAAATAGCTGGTGGATCTGAGTGAACTTGACGCAGCTGAGTCAAGCTGAGTCTAAGTTGCTGTTACCATGTACCTCAACCATTACCTTAAGTCCATGCAAAAGTCCATCAAGTGATGTTTGTTATTAGATCCTAATATAGTTCTCAGCATATTCATAGACACCACATGAGCCGAAATTTACCAGTGCTCGCTTGTCTGTGGCAGATTTTCTTAATTATTATCTTCAGAACAACAACCAAAAACTCAACTAACATTTTATCTTTGAGCACAGCTTCTTCTAGTGCTGGAGTTTTCCGATGTCATCCATGGCCATGATGGTCCATAAGGCCGAAGTAAATGCAAACACTTAGGTCATTACAGAGATTAATTTAAAGATGTAATTATAAGTACATGGTAAGTCTTGAGAAATTCTGACTGTTGATGGTGGTGTGTTAATCTGAAATATTTGAGACCTACCATCATTGGACCTCCTCTTTCTTTTCTCATACTTCCTTTGCATCTTTTTATGAATCCTTTAAATTAGCTATGCTGCTAGGATGGGTCTACTAGCATTCTCGACCTGGATACTGAGGGCGAATCAGCTCTCAGGGAGAATCTTTAGCCTGATGCCCACTCACATTGTCATGCCAATGGATACTCAGCTGGACTGTAAGGTAGTAGGCAATGGATGTCTTCAAACAACATAATCAGAATACTGTTACTGTGTTACACTTAAGGTATAGTTTTCTCTCAGTTCTCATGGCAAGTAATATCCATAATTTATGTAGGAGAGTTTTAAATAAGGACTTCTACCAACTCTTTTCTATGACTGACTATTGCATTTTATAGTTTTACATTTGTTTCTGAACTTTTACTTTTTTTTTTTTTTTTTTTTTTTTAATTGTTTCTTTCTTTTCTCTAAGGAAACCCTAGGAAAGATAATGGGGAGAAAGAAGAAGAAAGAGTGGAATAAAGGCTGTGGAACAATAACAGAAAAATTAGGAGTAAATAGTTCCTTCAGTGATTCAGTTTTCCTGGCTAAGCACTAGACAAATATCTTTCTGTTCATAAAATTCACCCTAAGAAAATTCTGTTTCCCTTTAGTCTCCCACAGAGATCCAGGGTGGCAGTAATAATATAGAGGATGAGCAATTATTTACTTCATCAGTTGGTCTGGGAAATACTTTAAAGTTTGGCAATCAAAAGATAATGGTCTTGTGAAACTACTATCTGATATTTGAATTTTCTTTAGAGACTGTTGTCACTGCATTAAATCATATGGAAGCAAAACTTGATAATATACCTACCTCCCCCAGTAAATAACTTAGGGAATCTGGCACTGAAGCTACAAGAGATAGCTTGTACTTCACAAGAAACAATTGTGCAGAATGACTAGGTCTTACCCATGAAGATGAAATATCTGTTACGATAAAAATAAATTACATTTTGTTCAAACCTTAGATAATAAGGGAAAGTTAAGATATACTGCATCAGAATTTATTAAGCAGACTGCATTTGCTTATTTGGCCACCTTGCAAGTTCAATTTTATTTATTCAAAAGAATTTAATTTTATTGCCCAGATCATTATCTAAGTCAGCCCAGCATCAGTGATGTGGCTGGGGATGTACTGGTCTATTCCAACAAAAAAATCATAATGTTATGTATAAATATAAACTATTCTTACATGAATTTCTTTCACTGTGGGACCATCCAGATGCTGAGGATTAAATGGTTCTTTCTTCAGCCTGTCTTTCCACCATCTCCAATACCTCTGCCTTTGTTAACAATTTCATTCAGTAATGCTGCATTTCAGTAAATGAATTAAAATCATGTAGTAAAGTGCCTTACTGAATCATGGCCTGAATGCTGTAGGCGTTATTATTATCCACTGCAATATATGAAACTGATTTCTTTTCCTATAAATTGCTAGGTGAATTCTTTCTTTTTGTGGTCAACTATGTATATGTATATAGATGAAATACTGCAGAGCTAAAAAGAACAATTTTTATGTAATTATATTAGAAAGGAATTGTGATATATCATCTATATAAAATCATCTAATAGAAAATGCCAATAGTACTTCTGAAGATATGCCCAGTGCTCCTTTTGCTTGTGTCAACCAGACTGAGAGCTTTAATTTTTTCAGTCTATTATTTGCTCATTCAATTTAGAAATACACAGTCTACAATTTAAGAACTGCAATATGTAGCAAATCAAAGTAATAAAAAAATCCAGCTTGTCCACTAAAGGGATGATCACACAATCCAGTGTATGGGACATACATATCATGACATTCCATCAAAACTGACAGAAAGGCATTTTAGCATAGTTTGGTGTATTGTGAGGGCGACAGAGCTGGTAAGGACAGACAATTCTTATCAAAAGCTGATATTCCAGAACTAACACAAAAAAGCAATCCAAAGTCTAGAAAAAGTCAGATGAAGCTACTTTTGAAACTGGAGTGAACTATGCAACAGCAGGTTCAACATTGTCAGTGTCGCACATAAATTACAGACTACCTGTCAGATGACAAATGGCAACCCTAAACCTTTTACAGATACATGACAGCACTCTCTGTTTAGATTATATGAGTTCATAATAATTACTACACAGTTCTGATTCTCATTAACTTTATTTATCACACTGATTTTATCCCTTCATCAAAAGAGATTCAACTTTTCTTTAATTTCTCCTGTGTGCACAGGGACCATGGGGATGTATATTCATTGCTAAGCAGTGTATTTGCATGTACACACTTACAACAGCTCCCTTTTCCAAAATGCTGTATCTCAGATTAAGGCATAGTTTTATGCTGCACATATGAATGCCTGTCTTTAACTTAAATGTCACAACCAATTGGTCTCCTTCAGCATGTAACATTAAATAGGTATTAATGTTCTTTAGTATTAAGTTATAATATTAAAACCACTAACTATGTTCCGTTAAACATTTTATAATGCTGAGATCACTGTAAAGTTTACCTGATGCCAAATTTCAGCAAAGGAGAGAAAATAGTTTAGTTTCTTTTGTGAATCTGATGCATTTAAGAACTTGGGTTAGGAGAATTTCCAATACTACTTGAATTCCTTGCTCCGAGGTGAACAATCTCCTTTTAAAAGAGACTAAAATCAAAACAATTAAGTAATGCGGGTAAAAGGTTACAACTTGATACTGCAATTCTAAATTTCTAAATTTGCAGGAAATGCAACAATCTGACTCTGAAAGTCATAAAAAATTATGATGTCACATCTTCAGATGACACAAATGCCAATGCTTAAGTGACTGGGATACCACATGATCAAGAACAAGAACTATCAAACAGCGCATTCCATACAATGCAATGTATGAAAATAGCATATAGAGTAATAATATTTTTTCAAAATAATAATTTTAAAAGCTCAACTAATTTATTCTGAATATTGCCCACTCAAGTTACTTTTAATGCTTTTTTGTTCCTGTGTTTCAGAATATATAGAGAAACTTTCTTAAAACATTCTAAGAGGCTAGAGAAGTTGTTTTATTATTAAACCTTTGGTGTTGAGACCCTTGTATATCTATTATTTTTCTAGGATCTGAGTTTTAAAGTAAATCACAAAATATTGCAAGATTCACAAAAGACTCACAAAGGGTCCTTCACTCATCTTTTTATGAAACACCAATCTGATTCAACATTTTAAAGTCAAATTTGTAGTATAGTTACAGGGAACATTACATTTCTAGTGTGCACTTTAGAAAGCACTGCTACTAGGTTGGGTTTTTGTTTTCAGAATATGGATTAACAGATAGGGACAAGTAGCATTTTAGACTCCAACATGTCAAGAATAATTCAGAAAAAACATCAGTTGTAAGAAAAAGGACACAGGCAGTTGCTTGTGGACTGGAAAGTCGTGATGAAGAATCAGAAGCATGCTGCATGAACTTATTAAAAACCTTTAGATAAGAACATGAATGTATTTAAATCCTAGAACAGAAGACATTCAAGTTCAAATCTATTTCTATCTCCTGAAGAAAAAGAGCAAGAAACTTACTTTTGTTAACTCTAAGACATGAGGAAATGTCTTTACTTGGTTTACATGGGTTTTTCACAATAGCTGAAAACCCACTCACACAGTTACATAAATAATTATGTTAATCAGACATTAATAATGAGTTTGCTGGTGAAACCACTTCTTTGTTGAACTAACTCATACAGCAGCTAAGCAGGAGAATAGTATTTGATAAATGTTACTACGCAGATCTTAGTGTGAAAAGGAAATATGACATCCAGGAAGACTTTTCTTGTGTTGATCACATGAGACTGAAGGTTTTTCACAGCATTCCTTCTTAAGCATCTAAGCCAGTAGGTTTTGCATTTCACTTCACCAATAAGGAAATCAGCTTTTCTGGGAGATACCACACTTGACGATAGATTGCAGTAGGAAATGAGAGCAGGCAATCTACTTGGGCCCAGAGACAGCCCTGAGCAGGAGGAAGAGTGGGGAGAGGGAACACAGAGCCAGGTTTGGAGATGAACCCTGCATAATCAGGATATAATGCCCAGCACTGAGTTAGCCAACGGTACCGGTCAACGCAACGATGTCAACAGCTGCAAATTAACACATCTGGATCCCTCTCTTGAAAGTAGCAGCTAGGAGGGATGTCCAGAACTCTGGCAGAGGCAAAACAGGCGTTGGAGTCCTGCCTGTGCTGATGTCCTGGGGCAGTTTGCTGCCCAAGGCAACAGTATACCTTACTTATGCCCAGTGGTACACCATTTTGACTAAGAAATGAGAACACTACAGATGCAAATGGCAGATATCAAACAACTGTGATAGTTAACAGAACCAGGTAACAGAAACCTTCAAATGGAATTGTAGATAACCACCCATTCTCAGGTAAATCTGTCTCTAATGAGGTCTTGCAGGTTTTGTGCTATACATCCTTTTTATGCACACACGTACATACACATGTGACTCTGTGTACCTGTATATAAACAGAGTAAACACATCTCTCTCTCTCTGTATATATATATATATTTATATACATACATACATGTAGCAATAACCTGAAAAAGAAACCTAAAACTTTAAAACATCAGATGACTATAGATAACTGGAAGATAAATGAAATGGTAAAATGATGAAGAGAACAAACCACTGACACAGTATGACTGAGAAGAAGCAGCACAAGCAAATAATAAGCTTTTATAATAAAAGTCTTACAATGAGAAATGGAGAAAAAATGCCAGAATAGAAGAGGATTCTTAATTATAAGGAGCAGTTACTCTTAAAGATTTGCAGGTCATAATATATAATCAAAGCATAAATAGCCAGTATGATGTTAGGCACAAGGGACTCGTGCAATCCTTGGATGTAGAAACAGGGGAACACTTAGCACTATCTGAGAAGTTACATTATTTATTTTTCTGGTAACAGGGCAACTTCTCTGAAGGCACCAATTCTCATTTCTGTCATAACATTTCATGAAATATACAGGAAAACTAGTATGGGTTCAAAGGCAGCCACAGAGATGATTAAAGAACTAGCCAACATGACTTCCAGTGAAATTGTAGGAGGTAAATAATTTTTGTTTATCAGAGAGGTTGTTACAGATTATTTAGTCCCCAGTTGCACATATCTATGTTAAAGAAACTTGAAAAACAGACTGTGCATGTTACTGTAACAGAAAACAAAGACTGGCAAACACCAGATTACTTTGAAGCAGATATGAGACACAAATGTTTAGCTCTAAGAGTAATTAACCAAGGCAACACCCCAAAATAATTGCTCTTACTTCGTCAAGCGTAAGGAATGCCTGCTTTAAAGAGGAATAAGCATCTTGGATGTATCTGTGCAGCTTCTGAAGAACAGTGTCACTGGAGAAAGCTTCATCTCCTCTAGCTGCATTTACTCTGCAAGAGGAAAAAAGGCAGTTTTTGTAATACTTTCATGTCTCACCCTCTTCTGCTCACAATGTTCTTCTCAGAGCAGGAAGAGTAAATCACCTCATTAAGACTCAGGGTTTGATAGGATTTAAATAAGAGTGCACTTAGAGAAAGCATTACTAAAAGATTTTTTAGCTGAATTTAATCAAGGGTAACCTTCAAGTGGATACACTTCCCATTTTCAATAAATATGTATACCACAGGTTACTCACATAAAAAAGAAACTTCCTACTTACTTATATTTTTTTATCATAGGAATTGTCTGACTGTTTTCAAAGGTGCTCCCATGATCCCGGAGTTTTTCTAAAAATTTTTGCCAAGCAATTTTACCTGTGACTTTCAGTCCAAATCTGATTTTTAAAGAAGAAAACAGTTTTAAAAGATTTTCATATAAAAACACTCTACGTTCCAAGAAGAATTTTGAATAAGAACATCACATCGTCGTTATAATATCAATGTGTGCAACATTCATAATTAGAGTAAGTTTGCACAGCTTTTCTTTGTTACTAAATATGTAAACTGAGCCAACTTATTTTCACAGTTCCAAATGTCTAACTGCGGAAAAACTAGACCCCAAGTGAGAATTCCTCTAGCCAAATGTACATGCCTGCACCTGAGTGAGTCACTCTAAGTTCCTTTATAGTCATTGGGGAGATACAGACACTTTCAGGACAGGATTCATCTCACTCTAAAGTAGGCATCTAAAACTGGTTAGATGAATCCTGCCCATTGTTTCTCTCCAGTGACTATAAAATAGAGTCTAGGAGGAGCAGTTCAGACATAGACATTCACATTACAGATGTCTAGAATGAGATAGTATTTAATGCATCCCTTCTCATTATTTACACATAACAGTAGAGAAACTAAGGGGAATAATATGTTGAGTTTTTTAAATGTTATGATGTTCACTGTAATTTGAAAACTTCAAATGTACTGGAAGTGTTAAACTATGTTAAAAATCCTGGGAAGACAACTGGTATCATATTCCATGAATAATTACTTTAAAATCAATAAGGACCTGATCCCATGACCCCCCAAATCATTGACATATCTCCTATTTGGATTCAATGGTACTGCAGAAAGCTCCAATGAGCATGGCTAAATACACTCCTACTTCAGATGGTGCTTTGTAGGCAATTATATCCCTCACATGTTATCAGAAACATGCTGATTTGCTACTCTAGTCATCTCAGAAAAGCTTTTAAAACTCCTAATGCTCCTTAAAGTGGTGGCAGACGGTGTCCAGAGCATTTGCTAATCCAGGATTCATCGGACAAAGCTAAAAAATTACCAAATGCAGTCAGAAGTATGCAAGACTTCCCGGATCTTTTACAGAAAAACTCGAGTTTTTGGACTACCTGGCAGTTTCTCAAGCTCAGCCAACAAAAATAAAACCAAAAGATACAGGAATCACAGCATTCAGGCTTGGGTCAACCTCAACCTGACAGCATGGAGTATTTAATGGGTGGGTAGGAAACCTGACTTTTTACAGAATGCACACACCATGGCTCCGTGGCTCCAGGGCTGAGCATCTCCTGCTGCACAAGCAGCACAACCACACCAGAGCCCAGAAAGGGCTTGAAGACTCAAGGTAAGTGAAGACAGAGGCAATGCTGGCATTTGGGGGAAGGACCAAGAACCAAAGACTCAAGGTAAGTGAAGACAGAGGCAGTGCTGGCATTCAGATTTCACTAGGGGAGCCATTTCATATCCTGCAGGGAGGGGCTTTGCCAACAATACTATTGAGGGATGGGTTATTAAAAAAAAGCTGTGGGAAGGATAGATATTTCATATCTGATTATTGTCTTGGATAAATGAATATAAAACAAACAGTATGAAATAACAGATGATCTTTAAAATTAAGGCTAATATAACTACTGTTATTTTGAGCCCCCAACTGAGATCCCTTCACACTCAAATGTCTATGGTCTACTAAATCACTCAAATTGCACTGTAGAACGCAATTTTGTATTGAAAATGAGCAACCAGCCAAAGCTGCGTCAATCAGCATAACAGACCTCTCGACTTCCACCTCCTTGCTCAGAAGCCCTACACTCACCCCTCAAACTTCAGCAGTGACAATTAACAAAATCGTGGGAGCTGAAGGGAACTTAGGAAGAAACACTGATGCGGATGTGTGAAGGTCTGGCATTACTAGCAATGATTTGTGGTGCCATTGATCAACGGTGCAGTGGTTTTCCCCCATTCTCCAGATGGGTAATGGATCGTGGAGCTCTTCCAGTTCTGCCTTTGACTGTACAACACAGCACTTTTGCAGGTTTTATCATGGAAAGGGATGAATCAGGCCCTTGCAGCAGGAGAGGAGGAACTCCCCAGTATTAACCAAATTGAAGAAAGCCCTATGTAGATAAAACTAAGTCAGTGGGAATAAAAATGGAAGAAAGACTTTGGCATATTTCTTTTTTATGTAAAACCAATCCCTCATTATAGTTATAATACTGGACCTCAGATTTCAAGCTGTGCTAGAAGTGCAATAAGTACACTGTTTAGATGCCACAGGTGAAATAACTGAGGCATAGGAAGATCATTCTACTGTAGGGCCAGAAAAAATATGCACCTTTTGTGAGTGGTAATCCAGCATTTTATCTGCTATGACAGGCCAGCTAACATACCAAAGTAATAAAATAAATTCTGCATGGCTTTTTGGAATGGCATTAGCTTATGATTATGGCCAAGTACAAAAGAGTATAATTCCAAAAGAATTGACTGATTAGAGCTTTAACAATATGGATATGCGGTAAAGCCATGCGATATGTTATCCTGTAGTGATTCTTTACAAAATACTACCAATTGAGAAATTTTTAATCATCAGTGCTTTAGCACCTGATACTTTATACAATTCATAAATTAAAGAAATGAAGCATGAGAGTAACACAAAAAGTTCAAAACTACCTCTGCTGCAGAAAACTGTGTGTTTTTAACTGATATAATGCTCAGGAAAGTCCTGACCAACTGAGCACAATGATTTACCTCGTATCACAAATAAAAGTCACCAATTAGAAATCCCAGCAGCCACCAGAAAAGTCTTTGAAGTTTTGTCAGCAAAGCCTTCATACTGGTCATGTATGATTTGCTCCCAGCTGTCAAGAATACCCATAATTTACACCCCTCAACCTAAGAAAGGACACAATCCACAGTGAAGGTCCAAAATATAACCAAAATTTTTCTCATGTGGGAGTGCTGAAATACTGTGAAATTACTTCCTTCAGTTTATGCAATTATTTATATAATCTCAAGTTCATGATATTTTACTTCTGAGTGAAAGAATTTTCAAGAATAAAAGTGATGAAATCCAGGGAATTTGGGACTCAGATGAGTGATGTCCCCTGAATGAAGTACACCTCAATGGTCTGCCTCTGATGTATTTGATCTTGCTGCAGTGGGGACATATACTGAGAGAGAAGTGCGTGGGCAATCTGGTCCTAAACCAGTCAAGGATGAAATCCTAGCTGAAGTCTAAGGCAAAATTGCATCAACTTCAATGGGCTCTGAATTTTATATCAGGAGCCCATGAGATGTAAATACCTCAAACAACCATAAAATGCTGTCATGTATTATTTCTTATAAACAGCTCCCTGGCACATCTCATGTCATATTATTTAAACAGAATCTTAAAAACCTTGAAATCATGTCCCTTGATGATCAATTACTATTACATTTATTATCAGCTACAATGAAGTTACTTCATTATTAGAATTAGATGACTATGAGGAACTTTTGCTGTAGTTCCATTCACCTGGTGGATCTTTCGTATTACATTATCTGAGAAATATCACCTAAGAGATATGGCATACATGGGCTTGAACACTTCTGTTTACAGCATCATTAAAATGTCACTATATTTTTCAAATGCTAGAGAAAACTCCACTGGAAGAATACATGCAGAAATCTTTCCATTATGCAACTGCTATTAAGAGGAAGATTTACTTTAAGATTTAAAGTAGCAAGTGACATGAATGAGGAAAAAAAAAAAACAAACCACAGTAATAGCAATTTTTTGACAAAGCAATAGTTGATCATTGTTATATCGCACTGTGAATGTCTAGGAGCAAATCAGATTTATCTGCTGAATGCACAAAGCAATATGGTTACTGCAGATGACACTCTCATACAGCACCTGCCTGCTGTAAAACGTATATCTGCACTGAGCTCTTTACAGCTAACTAGTGCATATAAAGAAAAAGATAACTAAATGGATTATTTACATGGATGATTCTATTCTTCCAACAATTTTAATAGATAAACTATAAATTATGGAATTATTAAGCAGTAATGCATCATCTTGCTACTGATGTCCTCACGCTATGATTTGGGTGCCTTGTCCTGTTGTTGTAAACTTAAGCAATATTTGGAGTAAAAATGCTGTGTAAGTGTTAAGTTGTTCTTACTTTCTCTTTGACTGGCCATATGCCCTTCGCACAGTTGTCAACAAGTATAAAGTATATTCTGGTAGTTTTCTTCTCACAGTTTTTGGTTTCTGAATACAAAATATTAATCATGAGAGATCCTGGTCTAGATTTAACCAAAAGCTACAAACCCATCAATTTTTATGATATTTTGGCTTTAAAAAGGAAATATGAGTTTAGGAAGCTAGTCAGCATATGCTGAAGTGATCATCTCCAGGAGATCATATTTTGGTAAATGTCTTATGGCCTAAACTCTGTCTGCTGAGATCTTGAGGCTGGGCTGGAAAATGTTTTCTACCCGTTAATCTTCTGTCCAGTATACTGCCCACAAGATGATTTGAATTTTGATCATAATACTACAAAGATGCCAGGTTAAAGTAAAATAGTACATTGACTTGAATCCAGTAGTTGGCATGATTTCCCAACCTTCACATCAACTTTAATAAAAATATTTACAGTGTTAAAACCTAAGTTCAAAGGATGTGTTTGCATCATTTTAGTTTAAATTAAAATTTCCAAGTATGAAATTTCTTTATTATGTAGCACAGAATTGTCCCTTCAGTTATCTTTTTCAGTGACTGACAGTAAGCAGCACAGAGTGAAAGCTCTAACTATTAGTTCATTCATTCATATTAGTTTCACTTCTTCCTCTGTTTTCCTTGCCACACCAGCATGTTTAAAAAGGACAGTCTTGCAAAGTCACACTGTTACCATGTGAATATGGAACTAACAGTCGTAAAGCTGCTCTTCAAGCAAATTCACACCATCCCACGTCACTAGTCATTTGAATGCAAGAGAGTGACGCTCCCTTTATGAAATTAGATACAAATTTGTGAGCAAATATTAGTAAGAAAGCAGTAATGTAAAGCTTTTACTCCATTAAACCTATATACCTTACTGCAAAAAACTTGATTTTATACTGAGCTATATCAGCTTTTACATACTGTGCCATACATACTGCAACACAGGCACAAGTAAGATAAATTAATGATGGTAGTCACAGAAAGCAATAATAAAGTTATAAGGCAGCAGCACTAAATAACATCCCCTAAGAAAATAACATGATTCTTACCTATTCATTAGCTCTTGAAAAGTTTCATTTGGCAAAGGAAATATAAAGCCATTTATGACTGACTTCAAGTAATCCAAAGACACAAATCCACTCCTGCTGACATCAATTGCTCTGAAGGCTTTTTCAATGTCCTGATAGGCTGAGCACAGCTGTAATGAATACAATTTATAGTGTTTTGTTCAGAAAAATCAAGTTCATGAAGCTTTTAAAACAATAATGTATTTTTTACAAGACCTTTTCAAATGTTATTCTTCATGAATTGATCAAATAGGTTACCCTGGCATGCTCTGACTGTCAGATGTTTAATTAATAAGCTCACTACAAAACAGTATTCCCAATCACACACTCTCAAATGACAAGTCAGACAAGTTTCTCAAATAATAACTCTGCCTCAAAATTCAGAGCTAAAAATACTTTGTGGATCAGCCTTCTTGATAGCACCTGTCTTAACATAACTTTAAAACCATCCATGGCATAACCTAGTATCTAGCTTCCCTTTATTAAAATGGGTCGTTAGCACAATGAATACTGGAGAATGTTAGAAGTCATGGAATAGTCTACATAGCTGTTGTATAAATGTATCACGCATTTCTTTGGTTATTTTTTTAATTCATGGGCTGTTGCAGAGGAGCTATGTGGATGTGGTTTTGCTTATGGGACTTGTAAAATGCCTGAAAGTTGACTTACTGCAGATTTTGATAAGGCTCATGAAACAATAGGAAGACTGGTTTGTTTTTCTGAAATGTTAGCTCACACTGGGTTGTTGAATACTGCAAGCATCCCTGAGGCTTTTCTCCCCCCGCCATTTTTTGACAAGTATCCCATCTGCTTCTAAGCTGATTATTGTTCATTCAAAACTGCCAAAATCACAGTATAAAGATAACGTTTAGAGAGACTTTAGGAAGCCCAAAATAAACACCAAGGACTGGGAGGGCTTGTAAGGTGAGATGTACTGTGCTTCCAATTCAGGCCTTGACCTCCATATCAAAAATACACAAGATGAAAAAGGGTCAGGATGCTGAATGTCCCTGTGGCCTTGTTTGTCCCTCCTCTCCTCTCTTTTCAAGGCTGAGAAAACACAGTTACAGGTCTGTGTAATTGAGTTTGTAGCAGAATAGCAGCCTTGATGCACAGTATCAGCTCCTCTTTTCTTAGAGAGTCAGGATTTTCATGACAGGAAGGCACAAGAGTGAGTGTTGGAAAATTTTGCTTCTCTTCACCTTAGCATAAAGCAGGTGGAACACAGTTATGTTCCACCATCACACTCCCCAACTCTCTTCAGTTAAGATCACTTTTAAGGGCATGTGGAGAGGTCATTTGCTGTGTCTATTCCAGCTCCACTCTATTCTAAGCTTGCCATCACATATTAAAAAAATGTGTTTCTGCAGTAGTACCTATCCACTAATAAATTATTTCATGCAGGTCAGAAAATAATTGTCAGACAATGATAACTAGTCATTACTTTGATCTGACAGAGTGATCTAGCAATTCACATTATGAAAGACCTTAGCCATCAAGCTTCAATGTACTCTCATTTTGTTTTAGCCTAAGGAATCTGAAGTTCTAATACATACAGGTTTAATGCTGTGAATCTAATAAGCAAGACTGGAATGCACAAAATAAAACAGAACTGCTGCTTCTGCTAACCAGCTTTAAAAGTAAACAAGAAACCCTGTGCATGGAATTTGTTCATAAAATAAGTTGGTATAATTAACTGGTCTCAATGCTTGGCAATAGTCTTTTCCTATGATGCCTGGCTCAGCTTCTCCACCTGTCCAAGTATTCCAAAGTATTAATGGCACTCCCTTACCTTTTCTCTAAATGCCCTCTCAGTGCTATCCAGGTTGTACTCTGTCACAGCATGCTCAGCTGGTGAAGACTGTAGAAAAAGTTTTGCTGGTGAAGATTGTAGAAAAAGTTTTTTCTGCTTCTATTCCTTTTCTTTTATTTTCTGGCATATTAGTGCTGTTAAGAAAACTGATTTAGCAGAGTCCGCAGCTTTGTCAGCTTCAAAGAAGTAAAGCCATCTAAAACTCTTAAAGACTTATAGTCTCTACAGACAGATTAAACCAAACCTGAAATACAACTTTCTTGTATTTTCTTGTATTTCAGTCTTGATCAGTAGTTCAAAATTACGCTAACTAATCTGCGCACTTGTTGTAGTAGTTTTTCATTTCATATTTCTTTTAAAATATAATACACACAGTCTTAACAGATAAGTTTATTACATTTAATATCAGAAGGTCGTACTAGAAACTAACTCCCTGTCTTTGTCAGTGAGTTTCCAGAACGATCCACTACTAAAAATATTTTTTCAGGAAGTGGAAGACAGTATCCTTATAGACCTTTGATAATAAACATGTCTATTGACTTTGAAAAGGCTCTTTTCCTTTTCCTTCACTTACTCCTGTCCCACTGTCCTATCTTGGCCCCATAGTCCTTGGAAGACCTTCCAGTTATCGTAAGTCAAGATTCTACATGTTAAAAAAAAAACACCAAAACCAAGCCAATTCTGTAGAATATTTATTTCATCTGGGCTGAACAGCTGATTTTGTGAGGGCAGTTTCTTGTGTACTGCTCTACTTAATGTGCTGTTGGCACATACACTCTTTGGGATAATGATTCTGCTATGGATGTGCCATATTGGATTCAGAGAATAGCAGCAACAACTGTGATGAACAAGACACAGGCATTTTGAGAACTTTATGCATAAAGAGTATGTGTACCAAACTCTTTTAAAGGTTATTTCAGTAGGGCTACATAGGAAACAAAATGCTGTTCTATATGGAAAAGGATACCAACGTGTGACTGCTCTGTGCTTAGGACATGCTCTCCTCTGTTCCCTCTTCCCACTCAGTGGCCTGCTGAACACAGATTTTCCTTCCTGTTTAAATAAAGCTATACTGCCCTATTTCAATTTAGTTTTGATTAGGCATTAATATTTATTAAACAAATATCACTCAGTTATGTACCTCAGAAACTAATCAGAGAGGTAAACCCTAATTTATCTGGATGATTTTAAAATCTATTTTTAGACCAATGTTTGATCAGTAATTTTTTTACCACTACTTTACATGATCAAGGTTCCAATTCTGAAAGTGGGTGGGTGAAAGAAATGAAACTGGGAACCAGAGGGCAAGAGGTGAATTCAAGATGCTGTCAGTACAGTAGGGCTGCAGGAACACCCCACAAACAAAGTCTCTGAATGTCTGAGGCATCCTATGGTGGAATGAGCGGAGAGGTTTTGTCCCAGGCCCCACTAACTAGACAGATTATTTAAGAGGTTTGATCACACACAATGCTAGGTACAGCATGGACTAGGAAGGAGGAGAAGCCTTAATTCATAAGATTATTTCTCCACAGTTTCAGTACCCTACATGGGAGAAACCCCCTCTATTTTTGGTAGTTACACTTACTTCTGGTCATGGTTTCAAACCAATCTTTAACAGTACTGCACAAACTTACAAACCTCTATATAGTCACACCATGGACATGTAAAATGGTGAGAAGAAAAGCTATTAAAATACTAGATATTCTGACTTCATGATTTCAAAAGAATTTGGCTGCTTCTGATCCTGCTGAAGCCAATGTGAATTGTTGGTATTCAGGGACTTTGAACATCAGGCCATCTATTAAAAATTGGTTCAGAAATAATTCCTACTACCCAAGGGAAGACTTTTTGTCAGGAAGAGGATAATCATAATTCAGATTTCTGGACTGCTGGCTTCGCTTTTCTCGACCAGGATGGATTTTTTTATTCTTCTATAATTCTCATAATGAAGCGCTAAATTCTAAGTAGTAGAAATGAAAGGGACAATGTTTGAAGCTAATGCTCTTTAGCCTGCAAAGTACAGGTAAGTCTTTACTGTCTTTCTTAATCAAAGTTAAGATTAAATGCTTCTTTTTAAACAAAAATAAATTAAATTATAATTAATAGTTAGTCTCACACTCATGAAAAATTCTACTGCCAAAATATCATATGTGTACATATGTGATGGAGAAAATACCTTGTTAAAGACACTAAATTAAATTTCAAGATAAGTAAACAGATTTTTATTATTTTTAAATGTACTGCAAGGGCTTTTCTCACTATCTTAACTTGACCACCTTCTTAAACTCACATATCCATAGATCCTCACATTCACATTACAGGTAAATCTGATAAATTTTTGCTGTATAATGTCTCAAACACAATATTTTTCATCCACATACAGGGTTAAATCTCTCCACTGCCTCCATTCATCCAACAACAGAATTACTGAAACACGCTTTTTCTGTCTTTAAGGAAAATAACCATGTCCTGTTCTATCAGTGACTCTTCCTTCCCTAAACAACAAACATAAGCTAATGTCTTCATTTTAAGTGTCTCCATGGCCCACGTCCTCCATGCCAATCACCTTTCACTCAGAAATGATCCTTTGTGCCACGTTGGACGGTCTGACTCTTGCAATTTCAAACAAATATGTTTTGCATTTACTCTTATGCCGACCCTTTTATTTGAGAGGACCTGCTCACATACATTCACAAACTGACTTAATTACTGACCATGAATCCTTCTTAAACATCCTTATTTGAGTTGATGCCTATAAAGACATTCCCAACAGTCCAATAAGTTAGGTTGCTGCTATGCCTGAAACTACTGTCAGGCTGACAAAAAATGTCTTACTGTCACCTTGACCTCCCCAAACTGTTGAATTCACCAGTTTGTCATTGTCTTAGAGTGTAAGTTCTTTGTTACCAAGATTACCTGGGAAGTTCAGTATGATTGAATACTGGGTGAAAACCAAGGTTCCCAAGTGCTACAAGATTCCAAGTTGAAATAACAAATTCTTTATCTAGCGTTTATGAGCTTCTAATTGTGATTTTGTTTTTCAGCACATGTAATGTCACCTTTTGTTTTTAAAGGCAGTTTTCACACATAGTTGGTAGAATTTCCCAGGCCAAAGGAAACTGGCTTTCTTTTCCTCCCTGTCCTTATTCTATCTGATGAGAATTAGAGGCTATCAATGTCCTACAAAATTGCAAACCAGATCCATCAAGGCCAACAGAAATACTTCTACTGATATAACTGGAAAGAGGAAAAGTACCCAAGTTTCCACTCATTTTCTGCACACATACCTGGAACTTCATTTTCTGTGCTTCTTTCTTTAACTGTGTCTGTACTTATGCCAAAATTCTTCAGAAATTCTTTGTAATCTGTCACATTAGAGTCTCTAACACAGTAATGGTTCCACAGCTTAGAGAAAAAAGAGCCATTTTTTAGAGAACACAGCGATTGTAGATCATATTTGTAGTGAATTGAAGAAATAGAAAATTTATTAAATCTTTAGCAACACAATATGTAAAAGATTGTGAAAAACAGATAAACAGTGAATTACTTTTTCTCTGCTTTCTCACTGCATTTTTTCTCTGGTCTCTTTCCTCTGCCCAAGACTGTCTATAGTATACAAGTTGTCTGAATAATACCATTCAAATCCTACATACAGTGCCATTTTCTTGGCCATCTACATGAACATGAATTTTCATATATCCTTACAAGGGCATTTATCTTCTAATAATATAAGAATCTGATGACATTCTTAAACAAATTCCAGTGTAACTTATGATAAGTCACACCTAAACTCTGAAGCAAGTTGTCTGGGTTTTATAGCAGGCTGGAAAATTTGCAGCAGCTTCATCTGGATTAAATGGGAACCTCACTTTTCAATTAGAACTCATTTTCACATGGTATTAACTTCTACAGCTTGGAAATCAATCTTTGATTGCAAGCATATATTTTCTGGATAATTCCGCTGCTCGGCAGTGAAGTTGTTAATATTGTATACACTTGCCATCCTCACACTGTATCCAAATGCTTGGAAAAAATGAGCAGTTTTCACCCTTCAGAACTACAGTTTGTTAGAGAATGCAGGACCAGTTTATCAGCAGTTACTGTGGGATTTATCTCCAATCCCCTTCAGAAAACACTGCTGTGATTCATGCTTATGTTTTTTCTTCCTAATCATGAAACCTAGAAAGATGTAGTTTTTAAAATTGAAATGAAAATTCTGTTACATAAAGAGGATCCATAAGTCTAAAGCTAAAATAGTACCATTAGAACATCTTGTGTATCACAAACAACTAAGTTTCTCTCAACTTCTTTTGCATTTAGCCCCATAATTAGTCTCTAAATACAATTAAAAAAAAAAAAAAAAGATTGATTAAAGCATGTGTTACAAAAATCCATTTAGTTAGTCCTGATGAATTTTTTCCAAGGACTAATAACAGAAGAATTGATTGCCTTATTTTTTCATTTGAATTTGTCTATCAAGTGAAGGCACTACACCATATGATACAGTCACCTCTTAAACTCCTCTTTCAAAGGCTAAACAGATTGTCTCATAACATTAAGCTCTAAAACATCCACACCCACCATCCCTTGAAACATGTTTGTAGCTTTTTTTTTTTCCTCACAATTTTTCAATATCCTGGGAATGAGAGCACCTGATGGGAAGCCATGTTCTGGTTTTGACTTTGACAATATATGAAAATAAAAGGCTTATTTCTGCTCAGTTTTTTTCCAAGACATCTTTGGGACATTAACTCTTTTGGAGACCCTCAGAGTAAAAGCCAAGCCCTCGTGAAAAAAAGACAGATACCACCCATTTACAAGCCACCACTTGCATCAACATGGTGGGTGACGTGGTGGGGCAAATTCCATTTGCAAGTGATGGGACCATTTAGGTGATAAAGATAAGAGAACTTGGTTAGCCATTTGGCAAATTCCATTTCAGACAAGAAAAGAGAGCTGCACTGTAACATACCCTGTTTTCCTCTCTATTCTTTGGATTGTATGGCAAAGTGTGAAGGAACGATTAGCTGCTAAGATCACCATAATTCTATCACTTCTGTGGGGTTCTGAAAGACAGGAATTCCCAATCACAGTATTAAATTTACTTAGTAAAGTTAGGAAGTCATTGACTTGCCTCTAGCCTCAGTTTCTCATTTGTAAAAATGTAATTATAATCCTGCCCAAGACATGGGGCTATCCTAGTTATCACAATAAACCACACACCTGTTTTTGATGCATGTAAACCATGGGTATATGCATAATTAATGAAGGACTTCACTTCTTTTCCCCAGAAATCCCCCCACATCCTATTTCTCCTTGAGCCTTCTCTTTGTGTCTTACTAGAGGTCGAGGACTATCTGTGAATTTTCAAGGAAATTTTAAAGGAATTAAGATTATGTTAGCTGTGAGTTGTACATATGGAAATATAGAATGAATATACAGACAGTACTCTGATATATGTGAAGTGCATTAGAAACATATATAATAAAATGGACAGATTTGGCTCCACTTTGAACAAATTTTCATGCATAAATTCAAAATAAAAGGAATACTTCAAAAACACTCGTGTGATCGTATTATTTTGGGATTGACAGTTCTATTTTATGAAAATGCCATGATAAAAATCAGGTCAATAGTAAATCTCAGCATCAGGAATGATACCTTGGCACATTTTAGGAGTGTCTGAAATTTTCCCTTGTTTACAGTTCAGTTTTTGATCTACCAAAAAATCCCAACCTACAATAAAAACCACATACATACACAAATTACCATGGCCTCACTACAGAACAGGAACACTCTTTAGTCATTATCTTACATTAGTGACAGTTTTCAGCAATCTATGGGGTACTCTGTTTTCTGTCACATGAAAACAGTTGCATTCCTTCCCCTAGGAACTTTTTACTGTTACTCTCGGGCAATTTCTGCTATTTTGAACAAAATGGCTTATTATGGATCTGCATATATCAAGGCTGGAAAGTCAATCCTATTTAATAAACAAATAGAAATACAGAACTAATTACTGGTTCAAAACTGCACTTTTGCCAGCTGTTCTTTGTACTCCAGCTTCCTACACAGGATCCCCATGAATAGGCAAGGATCACCATTATGCTTTGCCGGCGTTAATCACATCCTTACAGAAGGGGCAGGATACAATCTGGACATATGACAAAGGGACACTGAGCTGGTCTTTGCAGCAGCCATTAAAACTGGGTCAGAGCCTGTTTTCATGATAAAAATCAATAGGAGACTTGTTATTGCCCTCATCTAGGCATAATCATTTTTGATTGATCTATGTTAATATGCCTTAAAAAACAAATGACTGGTCCTAATCATCACAATTATTAGTTTGCTTTCATAAATTTATTGATCAAGGAATGTATTCCCAAAGACTAGCTTTAAACACTGCCAGCAGTCTCTTCCACCCACCTTGATAGAGCGAAGAAGGAAAACACGTACTACCATAGGGTGATTCAGAAATCCTAAATTATGGTCCTCATCTGCTTGCTCTCTGGATATGCTAATATATTTTCACTTACTAAAAAGGGCAACAAGCCCCAGGTGTTTTAAGTTAGCCTTTAGATTGCCTTGCCCTTCCTGTCATTAAATGATTTCCCTATTTCTATGACTTCCCTATTTATATAACCTAAACCAATTCATAGATTATAATCTGAAAAAGCATATTCCGGTATCTGTTCATATTCTATACCTGCTTAAATTTGATCACTATTACCTCTCTGCACCCAAGATGGAAGGACTGGATTGAAACCGGTTAAAAACAATGAAAATGTGTTCATTACATTCAAGGGGCAGTGGACTAGACCCTCTCTAAAGCCATGGTCTTGCAAACACACAGTCTTTCAGAGCACACGGATCCCAACTATATTAACTTTACCGCTAGCTTTGACTCCGATAGGCTGAAGCATCCAGTCCTGTGCAGTCATAATATTCCTGAATCACTGCTATGAATATAGCTGGACTACCCAGATCCACAGTGGAAGATCTTTACACAAGTTTTGTTTAAAAGCTAGAAGGCTAGCACATATCTCAGTGCTCCTAAGGCTATTACACAAACAAGCTTATAAGATCTTATGGATCTTCTAAGAAAGATGGTGACAGAATTTTTAGTAGGACCTGTAGCAATAGGACAAGAGGTAATGGTTTTAAATTAAAAGAGGGCAGATTCAGACTAGATATAAGGAAAAATTTTTTACAATGAGAGTGCTGAGATGCTGGAACAGGTTGCCCAGAGAAGTTGTAGATGCGTCGTCAACGTTTCCAGGGATGGGGAAGTTGGATGGAGCTCTGGGCAATCTGATCTAGTTGAAGATGTCCCTGCTTATTGGAGGAGGGCTGGACTAGATGACCTTTAAAAGTCCTTTCCAACCCAACCCATTCTATGATTCTAAGCACAAGCAAGCTAAGTATTGTTCTATACATTTTAAAGCCTGGGTTTACTTTTCATTTCAGTATATATTCCTTAAGCAACAATTCATCTGAAATTATTTTTTAGTTAGTAATTTTCAAAAAATTGAAGCTGACAATGCACATTTAATAAGCATAGAAATGGTTTCTGGTTTCTTAAGTATCAAAATATGCTAATTATAAGTACAACTATTCATTATTTTCCTACTTTTTATTTTTACACACATACGAATACCTCCTAATTGTTAAAATTGAAAAACAAACAAATGTACCCATTATACTTTTTATGAATCCAGCCCATTGTTCAAGGAAAAGAAATCATTCTTTACACAAAGATTTGCTCTCAGATTGCTGCCAAAGAAAATAACCTTGAATTATTTGCTGCATAACTGCCACATGAGTACATTAAAGGTGCCTAGGGACAGCTTCATCTTGAGCATGTGACTTTTAAGAAAAAGCTTTTAAGTTCAATATTTGAAAATTGCTGCCATATCCCTTTTCTTTCTCTGATTTTTAAATTAAATCCAGTTATCGCACATAGGAAGAAGATGGCTTTTGTTTCGATGTTTTCAGTCATTTCTCTAACAATGAAGGTTTTTATTGCCTGGCTGCAATGAATTCAGGATATCATGGGGATGTTAAAGAAATAGGTATATATATATATTTCATGGGTGGTTTTCCCCACAGCACTGGAGAATATATCCCTGCTATGAAACCTGAGTAACTTCCCTGACCATTAGGACTAGATGATCAAGACTGCCAACTGTGAAAGCCTAAAAACTGAATTCCTAGGATCTGGTCTTAAGGAGAGTGATTTTTCACACAATCAAGTAAATCTTTAGATGAGAGGCCCATCCAAAAAGTGTTTACTTCTTCCTAGCAGAGACAGGGTTTCAGAACTGTTAAATTTCTGAGGTTTTTTTCAGAAAATTTTTAATATCCTTTTGGTAAGGTAATACAATTGCTCTGTCTCTCTGGTGTTG